TCAAAAGTGATTCTGGTAAACTGCGAGGCTTTCCAGCGCCCTGCGACTCTCCAGGACCCTCCCTGAATTTGAAGTAGCAGCACTTCAGAGACACCTTTAGCCTCCTCAGAGTGAGTGGAGCAGTTCCCACCTAAATTGGCAATTTATTTGTGAATCTCATATCCTCCATCTACTTTGCATAATAAACATTGTAAATAATATTAAGAATGCTCTTTGATATTGGAGTTGGGAATGAAAATTTCATTTTTAAATGGATTCCGCAAATAATTTGCTGGTTGATTCTGTCAACGTCCTTTTTAATGTACTTACGACTGTTTTCCCAACCAGCGCGCTGGCAAGAAGCCACGCTGAGCGGCGGGCGGCGGGCGCGCTGGCTTCCTCGGATTCATGGGTCACACGCAGCTACCTTCATCTTCGTTCGGGTTTCACTTGCTGCCACTCCTCCTGCCAGCTCTGAACATTGAAAACAAAAAGTAAATTCTGATCACCTTTTGTTTTCTCACCACATCTGAAGAAGAAAAAATATGGACAAATCCAAAATAAGAATATAAAATGCCTCTAACTATATGCTATTACCACCCAGTTTCAGGAGACAGACAAGGGTTCCCATTTTGCAGGGCTTCCGTCACAGCGCTCCAAACGAGGGGCTGAAAACAACAGACATTTGTCATCTCGTGGTTCCAGACGCCGGTGGTCTGGAGGCTCGGTTCAGAGGGCCGCTCTCCCGAGGAAACTTGCAGTACAATCCTTCCTTGCCTCTGCCTCGCTTTCGGTGGCTGTCGGGACATTTGGCACTCTTGTCTGGTAGACGCGCCACTCCCATTCCTGTGTGGCACTCTCTTCTCGGCGTTCTCCCGGGTTTCTGTCCTCACTCAGTCATCTTCTTACAGGCACACGGGTCACCTTAGATCCCTCCTCCCAACGGGCGGGCCTTACTTAGCTAAGTACGTCTGCACCAACCCCACTTCCACATAAGGTCACATTGGGAAATACTGGGGTTAGGAACTCCAGTATTTCTTGGGGGTGGGTGGGTAGGGAAGGACATAATTCAACCTATAATGACAATTACTTTACTATTATGAATTAGCAATGATTTGTACGTTTCTGTTAACACCAATTATATTGTTAAAAGTACTTCTGAGTCAGAAGAAAATTTTGGCTGGGCAATTTGAGAGGACAGCTTGAATGTGGTTCGGCAAAGCCCCGAGAAGAGGCAGTATCCAGTTAGTCCAGACATGTCGGGGAGGGCCGGGGTGCAGGGAGCAGGTGAGTAGATCTCTCCCCTCCCTGTTCATGGCTACATCATCGCTGACAAACTTTCAGAAGAAAGTAACATCTGGTACCCGTGGGTTTCTTGGTCGCTGCGGACTGAATTTTGTCCCCCCAAAGTTCAGGTTGAAGTGGTAACTGGCCCTGTGATGGTATTTGGGCATGGGGAAATGGGGGGTGACAGGGTGCCGGTGAGTCCCGAGGCCTCTCAGCCACTCCGCTGTGCTGTCACGCGGGAAGGTCCACGTTCAAGAATCACACCACTATCTCTGGGGAAGGAGAGGAATGCTTTTCCTCAGTAACGTGTTTCTCTTGGGTAATAATGCAGACACACACGATCTTTTAGCTAATACATACCACAATATTTATATTGTTACCCAAAAGAACTGTATTACTGAGAAAATGCATTATTGCCTCCAAAAGGCCCCCCCAAAAAGAACCCCACACACATATCACCAAAAATCATAATTCAAACAAATACTTGGAAGCAGATCTCATTCATTTTGAATTAATTTCCTGAGAGTTTCCTTACATTATTGTCTGGATTTGATATACCACATAGGGCAATGAATACACTCACTTTCCTTTAAAAAAAAAAAGGCGGGGGGGTTAGGGTTAGAAGAACAGTTTCGAATTATGTCAGTAACACTTGACAAAAGAGGACTGCTGTAAAAGTTGATGTTCCTTCACAATCTTGGATTATTCACAGGAAACACACATCTCAGCCTGGATCACTTTTCATTAGTATAATTGCTCTAAAACTTAGTACTAGATGTCACAGAGTCTAAGAACTGACAGCTGACCCTACAGAAACACAGAGTGCTACAGTTTTTACAAACACCTCAAAATATTGGTAAGTAGCCAATGTACCCTACTTTCTTTTCCAATACATCCAACAGTGGTTATGTTATTGTACATAGATAGGTGTGTTATTAATGCTGGTTCACTACTGATGATGTTTCTTTATGTATTAGTCAATATATCAATATATGTGTGTAAGATGTATATAACCACATGCATGTGTGTATATATACATGTGTGTTTATGCACAGATTTGTATACACACGTATTTATGACCATTTGTGTACCCCCTGGAAGAGTTGTGTGCACAAGTGTCTGGACTCTCTGGACTCTGATGAAATGCACAGAGCGCTAAATAACTGGTGAGTGAAGAATGCAAGTGGAAAAAGTGCATTTGGTAATAGCTTGATGTTCTAGTTCAGTTTTAGGAATGTGTCCCCGTCAGTAGCATGGATGGACCTAGAGTGAAACAAGCCAGTCAGAGAAAGACAAGTGCTGTGTGATCTCACTTGCACACAGAGTCTAAAGAGCAGTGTAAATGAGCAACCAAACTGACAGACTCATCGGCAGAACGGACTGATGGCTGCCAGAATGGAGGAGGTTTGGGGAACTGGGTAGAAAAGGTGAAGGAATTGAGAAGTACAAATTGGTAGTTTAAAAAAAAAGAATGTGTCAATTGGAAGTTTAAAAAAATGCATCTCCCTCCTGGAGGCAGGGAGCACTGCTGGTGGGAAGGGCTTGCCTGACAGCGAGCTATAAGGTGGCTGTCAGGTCACACCCAGGGGCCGAAGTCTCCGTGACCACAGGTGCCCGTTTGTGAAAGGGCAGGGACTGTGCCTGGTGATATTTCAGGACTCTTTCGTCTCTCACACGCCATGAATTTTTAACGTTATTAACTATTGATACTTTTCATGACAGCAAGTCATTGAATCCTAACTGCATTTTCTGTTCTGTGTTAGTATGTTTCAACCTTCTGAGACTTTGTATTAGACAAGAAATATATTGGACTCTCTTTTTCCTGACACGCAGGAATGCAGCTGGTGGAGTAATTGCTGTCCCTTTTGGGGACTTACATAAACTATTTCACACTGTTGGGCTGCTTCTGAAGACGTTAGGCCCCTTAAAGGGATAGCCCTAAAATCACTGCTGGGTTAAGATTCTGCAAAATAAAACACACAGTGTTTTAATATTTCAGATGTTTAAACTCACTATATCGGCTATGAATGGTTTTCTTATTATCGTATAGCATTTATTTGGCTATAGGTATGTTATTAATGCTGGTTATTTATCTGGAAGTTTAGGATTTCTGCCAGATTTTAAAGTCACCTCAGCATTCAGTGTGAATGTTTCCAGGATTCTTGCCATTCTCTTAAGAATTCTCTGCCCAGTTTCAACTTCCCTGCCTTCCCCAGTATATACTCTCCCTCTGAAACACACTCCCCAGGCTTCTGGAGGCCTAACTTCAGCTCAGTGCAGTGTGTGTTTATGGACCGCACCCTGCGTCCCCAGTGCTGAGGCAGGTGTTAGGGGTATAAGCATATCTAAAACAGGGACCTACTAACATGAATTAACCACAAACCACCCCACTGGGTTAAGTGAACAAATTCACCTGCCATGTAGCTTCGTTTAACATTAAACACATAAAAATTCAAGAGCCATTAGCTTAGATTTTTTAAATTTATATTATTATTATTATTATTATCTTTCTTGTTTTCACAGTTAATGATGATCCTGCCATCTTGCTGATACCAGAAACTCTGTCTTGCAGCGCTATGGCAGATTCATGACAATAGATGAACTTCGTCAGGTCTGCGAGGACACTCCCATTTACTATTTCAGGAGAGAAGGTGAGTGTTTCTATCCTTTCATCCAAAAGTGACACTAAACCATTAACATACATTAAAAGGAAGTAGTTTTCAAGGCACACTGTTTATAATCACACTTAAAGTGATATGGTTTGTCAAGAGGCCAATCCTGCCCACCCTAGTTCTGGTACTACCTAGCAGAATGGCATTAGAAGATAGATTTGGCAGAAATGCAAGTAAAGTGTATACACTCTTGGTCCAGCTGGCTCCAGCTCGCCAAATCAAAGGCTGATGAAAAGTGAGTAAAAGTTGAAAAAAAGTTTTAATTTGCTTTGATGTATTTCTTTATGATGTGAAAGAGGATATAGCTAAGTAGTCAATATATCTTGGGTTAAGCCTTCAAGGTATTTCCTTAGTATTCCAGAGTATAAAACAATTTTTTTTCTCTTAAACAGATATGGCAGGTAAGATCACTTTTGTAAATAGTATATTAGCACTATTTTGATAAGTTGCATTCAGTTATTTTTTTGGACAAGTTCATTGTCATGTAAAGCAAGTACCTCAAAATTCATTTTACATTTAGCAAAGGCCCAAGAAATTTTTTTGGACTTTGAGAGGAATTTTTCATGTCTTCTACCTTTTAATAAATATTAAAATTGATAACCATAAAAAAATTAAACTTGAAATCTTCTTGGTTCTCCTGATAAGTATTGAACCTGCATTTTACCAAGAAGAATGTTGACCTTTCATTTTAAGGGTTTATCTAGCAACCTGTCAGTCTGTTTCTGTGAGAATGTTCAGAGGCTGGATTGTCTAGACACGCAGTCCCATATGCTACATGTGGTTAGGGAACACGTGCAGCGTGAGTGGTCCAAGCTGAGTGTTACTCTAAGTGTGCTTCAACACACACCGGATTTTGAAGACTCACGTGAAAAAAAGAATTTAAAAATTTTGATTAATTTTTGTTATATAGGTTATATCACAAAATCATAATGTTTTGGATATAATGGCTAAATGAGAATTTAAAATTAACTTCATGTGTTACTTTTTACTTTAACAGAGTATTTTAAATCACATATGTGGCCCACATCATTTTTCTGCGGACAGCTCTGGTCCATCACTTACTTGGAAGCACTTCAGTAAGCACGGTGTCACCGCGTACCTGTGGAACACGTAAGTTTTAATTACACCCTACAAATGGATATTGGAATGTATCTTACAAACATTTCTAATATCTTTATCTCTAACTTTTACCTCTAATCAACCCCACAGGGCTTATGAGGTAGAGTGTATCATTGTGTGGCCATATCTGGAGTTCTTCCTATAGAAATACCCTTCGGGCATTAGGCTTGGTCATGTGACTTCCCTTAGCCAATGACCTGTGAGTGGCGATGACGTATCCCACCCTGAGCAGATGCTTTAAGAACTATCACATGATGCGCCATGCACCGAGACTCTCTGTGTCCTGGGCCACAAGGGACAGTTCCTACAACCCGAAGGAAGACAGCACTGAGCAGAGTCCCCGCTGACCCTTGAGGAATATGTGACCGAGTAAGAAGAAAGATTTCTCCCAGGAGATGGCCGAAATCACCTACCATCTCTTCAGCACCAGAACCAAGTTTAAGCTTTTCCAGTTTGGCAGGTGAGGGCCAGAAATTGATGGCCAACACAAAGTAGGTGTTCTACAAATATTTATTAAACACATGAATGAAGACTAGGTTTAAAGGGGCTTGAAGCTCATACATATTTAGAGAAAAACACTTTTTAAGGAAAAAAACCCTCCAACATTACTAATACACAGTTATGTTCCAAAAATGCAAATTTAGCCCTGACCAGTACGGCTCAGTTGGTTGGGTGTTGTCCCACAGAGCAAAAGGTCACCAGTTTGGTTCCCTGTTGGGCCACATAACCTGGGTTGGGGTTCAGTCCCCAAATGGGCTTGGGTGAGAGGTAACCAGTCAATGTCCTTCTCCCTCCCTCCCTTCCCCTCTCTCTAAAAATAAATAAAAATCTCAAAAATGAAAATTTATTTAGACTAAGAAAAGAAATCAAAATATTAAAAAGATCTGAGGACTAAAATACTACAAATATTATAAAAGTCTAGGAAAATAGCATGGTATGTTTATTAATTAATTGCTTGACTCACCTCTGTAATACGTTTCCATACATGTTTTGACTGCAAACTCTTTGAACTCCTCTTCAGAAGAGGACCATTTTGAAAACTTATTTTCTATAGAAAGATCAGAAAGATCATTCAGTCTTTCCTTTAGCATGACTGACTGAAAAAAGTTATTACCAGTAATTTAGAACATTTCTATTCAGCTTCACACAACATTATTGGTAATTACACTTTTAGAATTAATGGCAAATTTGAGAAAACCTCAACCAAGTTTCTTTCTTGTTATAAAGTATAACAATATATAATGGCATTTCAAAATATGGTAATTTTCTGAAGCCTTAGATCATATTTCTAGTGTATCTATATATTTTGCTATCTAGAAGAGCTAAGTCTCTGATAAATTTTCAAAACAAGGTAAAATTATGACGTGTATTATAAATGCTACATATTTATAAAAGATTATTTTCTAGTATATATAAAATAAAAACATGTCAAGGATTTTATGCAACTCATTAAATAATGAGACAACCAGAAAATTTGTTAAAATCAATTCAAAGGAGAAATGGAAGAACTACAAATTCATATCAAGTAAAGGAATATTGAAATAACTTTAGAAAGAGAAGTAAAACTGGATTTTTCTACAGGAATGAATGGGTTGCTAGAAAAGTCAATTCCACCACCACCAGGTAGAATTTACTTGTGTGTCTACAGCTATGGAAGGCAGAATAATGCTTCCCTCCCTGGGCCTCCAAGAGATCCATTTCTTAAACCCCAGAAACTGAAAATATGTTAGGTTACGAGGTGAAGGGGAATTGAGGTTGCAGATGGGATTAAGATTGCTAATCATCTGACCTTATTAGAGAGAGATTATCCTGGATTATCCCTGTGGGCCCAGTAGAATCTCACAGGGACTTGAATGTGGAAGAGAGCAAGCATAAGAGAGTCAAAGAGAAGCGGTGGCCACTGAAGAAAGGTCAGGAAGATGCAAGGTGACTGGCTTTGAAGTTGGAAAAAGGGGTCCAAGAACCCAGGAATGTGGCTTCTAACGGCTGAAAAAGGCAAGAAAATGAATTTTCCCCTACACGCTCCACAGAAAAGGGGAGCTGCGCCAATACCTTGGTCGTAGTCCAGTGAGGCCTGCGTGGGACTTCTGGCCCCAGACTGATAAGATACCAAATTTGTGTTGTTTTAAGGCACCAAATTTGCAGTAAGTTTTTAAAGCAGTAGCAGAATAACCTAATAGACAAGAATCAGTGGCAATGCTATCAGTTATCTACAATTCACAAAATTTCAAAAGAGCCTGGTCAAAGACAAAGCACATAAACACGCACTCTCACACATAATTAAGACTTCATATTCATGCTATATCAGCAGAGTTTATGGAGCTCACTTTTCAGGCAGCAAATAAAAGTTGGAACGTACTCCTAATGAGATGAATGACTCAGCACTTAGCAATAACAAAGATGCCCTATCCAACCACAGGATCATTAATCACTGATGGAAGCAGAAATGAGCAAATTGATGACTTGATGTTTCAGTAGAATCTCCCTTGGAAACCGGAGAGAGCCAAATCATCAATAACTATGGAGTCAATTCTTGCTCCATCAGCCAATTTCTAGCCAAAAGGAGTAGCAGCTGCTTGATATCCCACTGCTTTAGCTTCAGGGTTTCTGTTACAATAGAATTTTCTTTCCTTCAATTAAAGTACGCTGGGTAACACTTAGAACTTGACTATCATCCTATGGAAACTCTTATCCAGTAGAAATTGATTGACAGACACTAGGAAAAAATATAAAAGGCATCAGATAAAAAATGAAGATTAATGGGGAATTGTATTGTTTGCTTTCCTGGCATCTACACCTCGCTCTTTTCATAGCAACACTTAGAGTTTCAGAGGATGCAGATCTCACAGGTGTCCCTCTCACCACTCCAAGAGTGGGTGAATGACCCAGGCATGGCCCATCTGTCTCAATGACAGATTTAAGAATTTATGGGACCAAAGGACCCACTAAGAATCAAGCTCAGATCATTATTTGAAAATATCAGGCAAGAGGCATTTTCTATGGGCTAGTCTTGCTAGCTAACATGGTAGAATATGGACTGGAACTGAGAGAGAATGAGCTTGACAATGAAGTCGACTCAGGCAAACAGAACTGAAAACACAGATTCCTTTGATGTAATTTGTACTCTTAAGTCTAGATATGTCTATTGCAAGATCATCTACCTCTGGTCTCTTCCAAGTAGTCAATTACTTCCCACCCTTCCCCCATAAGTCTCTTAGGGCTTAATTTCTGTTATGTGCCATCAGGAAAGTCCTGACTGAGACAACTACGTATATTTGATAAGGTACCTCACTACTGTTAAAAGCTAACGTAGGGCATATCAAATATTTTAAGTTTATTTGAGCAAAAATCAGTTCAAATCAGGCAGCACCATGCCAGAAGTGGCCAGACACACTCCAGTGACAGGAGCTGGAAGAAACACATTAAGAGAGAAAAGGCAGAAGCACAGCAACACAATTATTTGATAAGCTATACCTTAAACATTTGCCTTATTTGGAAAAGTCTAGTTGGCCGTTTGTGACTGGTTGTCCCTAGGTTTTCCTTCTTAACCCTGAGGCATGTACAGAATTAGGTTTTGCATGGGTTACATAGGCTAAGGTATTAGAAACACTTTGGTCTAATGGCTTCTGTATATAATTAATTTAACACTACCAAACGGACTGATGAAGTTAAAGAGTAAAGAAATACACCTGGGGGGAAAAAGATGAATTCCAATTGCTAGACAAAAATTCAAAAAGAAAGGGGGATTAAATATCATCTATACATTAAACACAATACAAAACAAGACCTATTTGCAATGTCTCTTGATAATCTCTGTATTTAACACTAACCACTAAAGGCTCTAATAGAAATAAATATCTTGGCAAAGTGGCTTCAACTTCTTCTGTTATGATCACAGTTTATTTCGTACTGTCCCTAAATTGCCTGAAACACTGTCTGGGAATCCAGCAGCATCTGAAGCCTGGGGCAATGATACAGACAGGGAGAAATACAGTCTGCCTTTGAGATACTTAAGTTCCAGGGAGAGACTGAAGGAGAAGAAAACCTGGCTGTTACCAAAAATGACCCCAATTTGTAAGAAAAACTCTAGCACGATCTGATAATTTGTTAGTTCTTATTTTTATCCTTTGAACACAAATGATTTTTTTTTCTTTGAAACCTTTCTACAACTTCCATTGTAGGCCTACATCTGTGGTCCTTTTTTGGCTTACATTCAGCACATCTGAGAAAGCAAAAAAAGCAAAGAGAATGAAATCGAAATAACTCAATTATTAGAATAATATGATCAGGGTGGTTCAGTCAGCAAAATGAAGTCAAACTATTAAAAAAAGAGTTTTAATGGGGCGTATCATCTCTCGTAAATCAGGAAAGCAAACCGTGGACCATTTGCAAAGCAAGCTGGTTTGTGTGCCCTTTTCATTTATCTTCACCGAGCAACTTCCCAGAGCCGTGGCCTGGCCGTTTCTAGTTCAGTGTGGGGTCTCAGGTTGTGGAGCAGATTATTCCTCCATCCTTCCCTCATGTATTCACTTAGTTTTTTTTCTTCAGCTTCAAAAGGGAAAGGAAAATTTTCAACTCATAGCAAAAGACTAGCATCAAAACATAATTTCAACATTTACACATAATTTTTTTAAAAACTCCAACAAACCAATAATAATGGAGAATAATAAAAGGCGAAGAACACAACAGAAAAAGAGGCTACAAAAGAAAAAACCTGAATGGCCAATAAAATGCTGAGAAGATGCTCCACTTCACTGCAACTCAGGGAAATGCAAATTAAAACAGTAACGATACACCATTTCATACACATAAGATTGGTGAGAACTGAGGAAAACACAAGCTGGAAGGGGTTGGGGATATTCTCACACACCAAGAAGAAGCACTCAGGGGAGAAGATTTACAATTATTCTAATATGCAAAGTTGAAGATACTCTGGACCATTTCACTTCTAAATATTTACTCTAGATGAGCTCTCATGAAAAAACCGTTCATTGCAGATTGATTTAAAAGGTGAGACACTGAAGGTCATTAACAGGACATTAATTTTGGTGATTCATTAGTAGAATACTGTGGGAGAGTGAAAACAAAAGAACTAAACCCAGGTGTCCTAAGACGGATGCACCTCAACAGTGCTGACTGGAGAAGAGCAGGTTGCAGGGGGATCCAGGAAGTACGGTGCCGTCTATGAAAAAGGTAAAAGGACATGAAAGTGTGCTACAGTCAAACACCTGTCACTGTCCCCCAGGTTTCCTTTATTGCTGTTTCCTAATCTAGAATCTAAACAATCAAATCATGCATTTGGTTTCATGACTTTGTACATTCTTTTAATTTGAAATGGCTCTCCCCCCTTTTATACTGACACAGTTTAAGATTACAGGACAATGATTTTGTGGAAGATCCTGCATTTTTTATCTCATGGTATTGTTTGACTTCTCTGCACATTTTCTGTAAGCTGGAAGTTAGGTCTAGAAGGGCTCGATTAGATTTGGAATAACTATTCTGTCAAGAATTTTTATAGGGGATGTTGTGGATATTGTATTGCATCACTTCAGGAGACAGTGTCGGGATGACCCACTATGTTTGTGATGCTAAATTTGATCTCTTGGTTAAGGTTTTAACTTCCGTGTCACTCCTGTAAAATATTCATTTTTCCCGTGTATTTAGTTAAAAAAACTCTTTAGAGTGATACCTTGGAACTGTATCACTACTGTACCCCATAAATATTTTAGCATCCACTGAAAAGTCTGTTGTTAGTATTATTTTCTGACCATTTTTAATAAATTTATTTTTAATTGAGTAGCTTAAAAATTTAATTATAAATCAACTGAAAGTCCTTCACCCTCTTCTATTCTGTATTGTAAACAGTTTCTCATGTTTCCTTCCTGAAACTTAAGATGTTTGACAAGAATATAAAACAAATTATAATACAACAGAGGATTGAATAAGTGCCCTCCTAGAATAGTGATACATTCAAGGGTTTTATAATAAGAAATTTTTTTGGTGAGAAAAGAAAAGACTGGTGATGATGTCACTGGACAGTAGGATTGAGAGCATTTAAGCTTAAGAACAATTCCAAAACCTCTGGGAGGGCATGGAAGGGCTGGAGAATATCGTAAAGGCGTATAGTGACAGGCTGGAGTCGGCTCCTATTGGTTTGATTCTTAAGTTGTTAAGAACTTTGTGAGGCCCTGGCCACTGTGGCTCATTTGGTTGGATCATGGTCCTGTACACCAAAAGCCTGGGGGTTCAATCCCCAGTCAGGACATATACCTGGATTGTGGGTTCCATTCCCAGTGGGGGCATGTGTGAGAGGCAACAAGTCAATGTTTCTCTTTCTCTCTCTCTCTCTTTCTCTAAAATCAATAAACATTAAAAAAAGAATTTTGTGAGCTAGTTATGTGCAGCCATTATTAAAATTTGTATAAATTTACAATGTTATATTAAAAACTCATTACTTCCTAATTATTTTTACTATATCTTACCATTATTTATGTCTTAATGTTATTTATGTCTACTGTATCTGCACAATGAAAGTATACAATGATATGCAATGCACATCTTTCAACACCACGTTTAGTGACATTGTGCTAGAAATTGACATAGGTTATGGTAAGAGCATTTACACCGTGGAAATATCAACAAACACAACCAACCAGGGCTCCATTTATTGTTTTGTTGATTGTTTAGACTTAAAAGTGATGGAAACAATGTTAATAATACAGATTCAACTTAAAAGTGCATTATATCTGTAGCTGTTAAACTGACTAGCATTTTAAAATTGAGTAAATGTTCATCTAGTATTCAAGAATGAATACTCAGTCCAACGAAGTTGATCACATAATGTTGGAAGACTGAACTTTCTTTTTTCCTTTTCTTTTCTTTATTTATTTTTAGAGAGTGGGGAGAGAGGGAGAAAGAAAGGGAGAGAAATATCGATGTGAAAGAGAAACATCAGTTGGTTGCCTCTCATGTACGCCGTGACTGGGAACAGTCCTGAAACCCAGGCCCTTACCTGGAATCAAACTGGTGACCTTTTGCTTTGCGGGACAATGCCCAACCAACTGAGCCACACTGGTCAGGGCTGAACATTCAATAAACGTCTGAAGTGTTTCATTTTCATTTTATTCCTTAATGAAAATAGCAAGCAATATTCATGAAATCACACTGATTCCTTGATGGCAACCGCACGTTGCTACAGATACAATAGTTCGGTAAAAATCAAAAGTATTGTGTGAGAATCAATTGGCTGTGTGTAATTTACACTGAAGGACATTTTAAATTGTAGTAATTTTGTCGTAAGAATATTCCTGCCCTGGCTGGTATGGCTCAGTGGATTGAGTGCTGGCCAAGAATCAAAGGGTCGCTGGTTTGAGTCCCAGTCAGGGCCCATGTCTGGGGCCAGGTCCCCAGTAGGGGATACGTGAGAAGCAACCACACACTGATGTTTCTCTCCCTATCTCCTCCTTTCCCCTCTGCCTAAAAACAAATAACTCAAATCTAAAAAAAAAGAACATTCCTTAAATCAGTATTATATATATATATCTCACTATGGTTTGAATTGTGTCCCTCCAAAACTGATGTGTTGAAGCCCTAACCTCTAATATGTCTATGTCTGGTGATAAAGTCTTTCAGTAGTAATTAAGGGACTATGAGGTTATCAGGGACCTAGTCTGATAAGACTGAGTGGCCTTATTAAAAAAGGAGGAAAGTACCTGGCTGGTGTAGCTCAGTGGATTGAGCACGGGCCTGTGAAGCAAAGGGTTGCCAGTTTGTATCCCAGTCAGGGCACATGCCTGGGTTGCAGGCCAGGTCCCCAGTAGGGGACACATGAAAGGCAACCACACATTGATGTTTCTCTCCCACTTATTCTCCTTCCCTTCCCCTCTCTCTAAAAAAATAAATAAAATACATTTAAAAAGGAAGAAATGCTTTTTCTTCCCCCCTACCCTCACCCCTTTCCTCACACATGCACCCACCTGGGAAAGCCCATATATACACAGTGAAAAGGTAGCCATCTAGGTCAAGAAAAGAGGCTTCAAAGTGAGACTTACCTGTTTGCACTTTGGTCTTTAACTTCCCAGGCTCCAGAACTGTGATAAATCTTTGATGTTTAAGTCACCTGGCCTGTGGTATTATGTTATGGCTGCCCACACATTGACAAACACATACACACTCCTGGTAATAGAAAATAATGACAAGAAATGTCAGAGTGTGACAAGCGCTATAAAAATATGGAATAATAATAGTGAAAAGTACAGAGGAGGTAGTATTTTACCTTAACTAGGCGGATAGGTGATCCAGGCTAGAGACTGGGCAGTGGTCTTATAAACACAAAAGTCTACAGGACTTCAGCAGGGCACTGTATGACTGGTCAGCTACAGCTGACTGGCACCAGGGGTGCTCATGGATATTGGCAAGAAACTACACAGCTGGGAGAGTCAGAATATTATACAGGTCCATGTTTTTCAAGTGGGGTATCAACTTCCCTGTGTATCTCTAGTCAGCTTTTTCTCCCCTACCCCCTTAGGTTTTTTTTTCAATCCTGTTCTTCTAACCCCTCCCTGTTGCTCTTCTCTAGGTCTCAGACCATAACCTTCCCTCTCCGGCACACCCATACCTAGTCACTTCCCAAGTCTTGGATGGCCTCGAGTCATGCTTCCTCTTCTCTTCCCCCAGAACATTGCTTCTGTTTAAGATTTCGTCACTTCTATACATATGCAATGGCCTCCCAGTTAGTCTCCTTGCTTTTAGTTTGCCCTTTTAAGCATCTCCTATCTGGTTACCAGAATGATCTCAATCTCACAATGTCACACTTCCATTTCAAATTGTACCCTGGTTACCTGGATTGCTGGGTTAAGTTCAGATAGTCCCTTTAGCCCACCTGCCTGATTCTCTAGTCCACATTTTTCAGTCTCCCTCACTGGCCATACTGAACTAATTGCTGGACTCTGTCCTGTTGTTTCATACACTTTCTGTTGCTATCTGAAATCCCCTCCTCCACTGGGCCAACTTCTTGCCCTTTAAAACCTAGGGCCAGAATTACCTTTTCCAGGTAAATTTTCCTGGACCCTTTCTGATTTAGTTCCCCTACTATGAGCTTCCTGTAATTAGCTTGGCCTCTGCTGATACTACATAAGCACTGTGCTATGATGTCGGTTTACTTGTCTGTTCCTCCTGTTAAAGGAAATTGGCAGTTGTTTTAAAACATAGCGCAGCACCCAGGGAATGACTTGTTTTTTTCCTTTGTTTCTTGCTTGTCCCTGCACGTCAGAGATAATGATTGCCTGTGTGCTAGAGATAACGTTTTGCTTCTTGCTTCTGTAAGCTGCTTCTTGCTTTTTCACCAGAAGTAACGGTCTAATTGACAGATCACCCCTCACCCTATATAAGCAATTGCTCCCTGCTGATTGGGGCCCGGAATTTGGAGACTGCCTCCTCTGGGTCCACGTGCGTAATAAAGGTTCCACTTCACTTCCTCCAGTGTTTGGTCTGAGTCTTTCCTGTAACACTCCTGCAGTCTGTCTCACATTCATCTTTTTTTAAAAATATTTTATTTATTTATTTTTTGAGGGGAAGGGAAGGAGAGAGGGAGAGAAATATCAATGTATGGTTGATCTCCTGGGTTCCCTGCTGAGAACTGGCCTGCAACCCAAGCATGTGCCCTGACTGGGAATCGAACCTCAATCCACTGGTTCGCAGACCCAAGCTCAATCCACTGAGCTACACCAGCCAGGGCACATTCATCTTTTTTATCCTCTCTGCCAAGCCTGGCTTCTGTAACATAGCAGGCCTCCTTAAGTCCTTACGGAAGAATTAATTATAGAAGTAGAACCATAGGTCTTAATGAGCCCCTGAAGAAAAACAGCAGAGAAGACGTTGCTGAGCCTTCTATGTTAAGGAACAAATAGAGTTTGTGGTTTGGACATAGCAGGAGAGACCATCTGTAAGCTGGAAGTGAGAGTAAAGGGGCTTCAACAGCCTCGCTGTTCACCTTGAACCTGACACAAGAACTACTACATTTCCCGTTGTGCACCGGGGCACCGCTCCTGGTTTCCTTTCTCCACCGCCCCTTTCCCACGGAAGTGAAAGGAGCATTTCCTGTTCCGTCAATAACCCGGCCCCGGCTTTAGAGCGGCCTTCTAGGTCCAGGTTTCGAAGCTCCGCCTTCGCTCCGGTCTTTCTAGAAACGCAGCTTTGCCCTCGGCGGTGCCGGACTGGTACTGCCGGGCCACTGCAGGTGTCCGCGGGTGAGTCCTCTGCACTGAGAACTTTCCCCTGGTGGGTTGGAGCTCCCGCAGGGCGCTCCGGCCGTGTGGCTCCGGGCAGGGAAGCCGGTTACCGTAGCCGTGGCTGCTGCGCTGACATTTATTTCTTTTCCCAATTGCAGCGTCCAGACGCGTGTGTGTCCCCCTATGGCGGATACAGCTCCGAACGGCCCCCAAGGGGCAGGCGCAGTGGTAAGTGAGAGGGCAGAGTGGTCTGGCTTGATTTGCAAGAGGTTGGAAAGAGCAGGAAGTGTTGCAAGTCGTGTGTGAGGTGTTTCAGAAGCCCATTGCTCTCAGGACTGGAAGTAGTGATTGGGCTGGAGCTGGGCGTTGGGGGGAGAGGGGAGAAGTAGAGTCAGCTACAACTTTTCTTTTTCGGAAGCGAAGTCAGACCCGTGGGCGGGCCGGCCTGGAGCAGGTGGCCCACACCTGTGTGCCGTGGAGATCGGGCCTTCTTGCCTCTTCGCCCCCTCGGTCCCAAGGTTAAAGGTGCCACATGAGACTGTGCCATGATACTGCTCATTCCGCACACGCCTGTGGGCAAGAGAACATTTCTACCCCTTTTATGTCATTATATGAAAACTAGGCAAAGGAGGAGAGTGGTCTTTTGTTTTCTTCCTTTCGTCATTTTTTACAAAGGAAAATATTACGCTTTTGTGAATTTCTTATCCCTAAGATGGAGATTTACTGCCATCGAGTTACTTGTACCCGAAGCAGTATTGCCCTCTAATTTTAAACACTATGAGTATGTGAATTGAGCAGTTTTTCTTTTTTAAACATTTTGCGGCATCTCTATAGGTACACTTCCTATTTTCTTTATTTTGCAGAACCTTTTGAGAGTTAATTGCATATATCATGATAGTTCATCCTACAGTCATCAGTGCAGTTTTTGCAGTTAAAGTTCGGAGATTTAACGTTGATACATGTTAAAATCTCAGTCAGTCCATATTCAGATTTCCTCAATTGTCTTGTAAAGCTGCCTTCTCCTCATCCAGGGTTCAATCAAAAAGCATGCATTGCCTTTACCTGCCTTCAGCCTTTATTTTAGCCTAGAATAGGTCCCTTGCCCTCCTCCTGTTTGTCTTTCCAGAGCTCAGAGCTGTTGTTTTGCAGAATACTCCTTAAATTGGAGTTGTCTGATCTTATTTTTCCACTCCTGAAGACTAGATTCAGGTTAAGCACTTTTGCAGGAATATTATATAAGTGAAATTCTGTCCTTCTCAGTGCATTGTATATAGTAGGAAGCATCTTATGTTGATTTATCCCATCTTTGGAGACACAAAATTTGATTATATGGTTAAGGTGGTATCCACCAGATTCTCCATTGTAAAGATACCTTTTTTGCCTTTGTTATTAAAAAGTAATCTGTGACATGGTACTTTGAGACTGCATGAATAGTTTTTCATTCAAAGATCCAGTGCTGTTTTTTGCTTCAATTGTTTATAACATGATTAGGTAGTTCACTCTTAAAATTTAAAGCAGTACATTTTAAAAAATCTTTTTGGTTGTGTAATAAAATATATGTACATGAAACTGTACAAAATAGGATGCATTGCTCAATGAGTTATCACAAAGCAAGCACCCTAAACAAACAGGTTTTAAAGAAAATGTTCTAGCCCTGACTGGTGTGGCTCAGTTTGTTGGGCTTTGTCCTGCAGTCTGAAAGGTCTTGGGTTCAATTCCTGGTCAGGGCACATGGGTGGATTAAGGGTTCTGTCCTCAGGCAAGGCGCATGCGGTAGGCAACCAATCCATCTTTCTTTCTCACATCAGTGTTTCCCTCATTTTCCCTCCCTTCCCCTCTGGAGTCAAAAGGAAAAACATTTTTAAGTAATAAAGAAAGTGTTCCTAAATTAAATTTCTAACTGTGGTGTAGAATCTGAATATCCGTAGAGAAAATGAGCATAGTGAGCTGGATTCATCCTTCCTCTTCACTGCTGGTGATCATTTAAATTTAGAGGAGTAAACAGTATAGTTGGGTAGGATGGACTAGAGGCATATTTCTGAAGTAATCTGCATTTTGTTAAAAAGACATGCAATAAAACATCTTCGAATTTTAAAATTTACTTGCATTTTTTCCAAAATCTTTTTATAGGGTGGGTCAAAAATAGGTTTACAGTTGTTTGTATGAAAAATGATACGATAATTAATAAATAGTAATACAAGAAGAAACTGTTTTTGCATACTCAAATTGTAAACCTTTTTTTGTTCCACCCTGTGCATCTTCCTTTAAAAAATAATTAGATTGCTTAGACTAGGGTTTTAGACTCTAGGTTAAGACCCATTAATGAGTTTTTAAATCAGTTTAGTGGAACCGCATAAATATTTTTAAAACATTAAGTAAACCCTTGACTAGTGTGGCTCAGTTGGCTGGGTGTTGTTGGCACAAAGCCAAAGGTCGCCTGTTCGATTTCTGGGTTGCAGGTTTGGTCCCCCGTTGGGGGCAGGTGCTAGAGGCAGCCGATTGATGTTTCTCTCTCTCACTCATTGATGTTTCTCTCCTTTGTCCCTCCCCTTCCCATCTATTTAAAAATAAATAAGATCTTTAAGAAAGAACATTAACTAGAATACAGAATGCTAAAATCCATCACATGTAGTATGGATAAGTATATTTTGTGAAACTTGTTTATATATCCACACACGTTTATGTTACATCTTTTTTTAAATTTCTTTTTAGAGAGAGGGAGAAACAGAGAGAGAGAAACAGTGATGTTTGAGAGAAACATTAACCAGATGCCTCCCCCAAATGGGGACCTGGCCCTCAATCCAGGCATGTGCCCTGACTGGGAATCAAACTGGCAACCTTTCTGTTTGTAGCCCCAGCACTCAATTCACTGAGTCACGCCAGCCAGAGCTGTTAGTGTTAGACCTTTATATAAAAATTACGTATGTAGATCCTATCAACAAATACAAAAGCCACTTTAGAATCTGGATATCAGGTGATTTAGAATGTGGGACAGATTTGAAGTTACTGCGTTAGTGGTGATGGACACATCTATTGGCAAAAAGAAGCAAAGGAACAGAGAATGAGAAAAACGGGAGAAGAAAGTGGTATGGAAATTCAGTATAGGGCCACTGAGGCCAGGGTAAGACTTGTCGGGGTGCTTCCGGGGGATGAGAAAGTCATAAAATCAGGGAGGCAGATGCCATTTAACTCCTGTGTCCTGCCAGGAGCACCTGTTTAGAGCAGCAGTCAGGCCCTTCTGTGTACATAGGCAGCTCCCCCGTAGGCCGGGTTCAGTAGTGAGGGCTGTTAGCATTGTCCTTTGTAAAGTTTTATTTAATCCCAAGTGGCTTTGTACGATACCATTTTATTCAGATCCGAGACATACCTATTTGAATTTGAGATTTTTTAAAGAATAGGCTATAGTTCTCTTGAAAGCAGTTCTTATAATGTTCTTTTAAAACAGATGAAGTCAGTGTTACAAGTGCAGGAGGAATACAGACAACTGTAGTGAATTTTTTCAAAAATTTTTTCCTAATTAGTCTATTTGGTATTTTTGTATTTAAGTACTTCTAGTGCTTTCCACATCAAAAGTGTAAGGCTCTAAGGTGTTTAGACTTGTTAGGTAAAATAATTGCTCTAAGAGTTTTCATTTATGATCTTAAAAAAGCAATACTATTGTTACACAATCATTAAAACCTTTTGAATAGGAATAAAACTGCATAATCTTTACCCTTATAAACATAATTTGGAGCCTTAGCTTACTACAATATTTTTCTTTTTAAATCCAGCAATTCATGATGACCAATAAACTGGACACAGCAATGTGGCTTTCTCGCTTGTTCACAGTTTACTGCTCTGCTTTGTTTGTTCTGCCTCTTCTTGGGTATGTACTATATCTTTTTCTGTCTTTGATACTCCAGTCAGTTTTTATGCAATATCTTTTAGTTTCAAGACTTACTAAACTGCAAGGGGTTAAACACAAGTCTTGTCTTTAAGGCACTAATAATTTAATGTCACTCACTGGAGGGATATATTGTATTATGTGCTTTGTGGAAACTAACATCACATTGAAAATCTGAGAGAAAAATGGATTTGTGCAAATGAGTTCATATTTTTTGCATTTTGGACTTTTGAACATAATGGAAAGAATGACTGCTTTATTAAATTCAGTTACATATATGAAGTGATGCTTGTAAGAATGTACAGTAGATTCTAGTAAAATTTTTTCTGTTTATAATTAAGTAATGGATTTAGGTGTTGTGCAATTATGATGCAATTCACAGAGGAGGAAGAGGCATGGTAGCTGTTTATGTCTCATGATAACCTCTCCTCTGGTAATTTGCAGGTTGCATGAAGCAGCAAGCTTTTACCAACGTGCTTTGCTGGCAAATGCTCTTACCAGTGCTCTGAGGCTGCATCAAAGATTACCGCACTTCCAGTTAAGCAGAGCATTCCTGGCCCAAGCTTTGTTGGAGGACAGCTGCCACTACCTGCTGTATTCACTCATCTTTGTCAATTCCTACCCTGTTACAAGTATCCTTTTGTACCTTATTGACAATAATATTGCCTGTTGCTATGGATAGACTAGAAAATAGGGACACATGGTTGATTTCTGGAGATAATAAGAATGAAATCACCCATTTGGAATTCATATGTTTACATATTTTGAAAGTGTTGTGGGGTGATAATAAGTATTCTAGAAAGAAAAAACCCCAAAAGGGAGGGATGGAAGAAGGGGGCGAGTATTTAGTACCTTAGGGAAGCACACTAGGTGAACTGGTAAATAGGTTTCTTTACTATAGGACCTTTGATGTGCTGATGTACATCGGGAGACTAAGACTTCTGGTGTTTCCTAAACTTAATCGTCTTCATTGTTATTTTCCTTTTGCAGATCATCCCTCAGGAAAGAAAGTGTTTTGTTCTTTGAGAAGTGCTGCTCTTAAGAGTTCTTGAGTATTATACAAGTATACTTACTAGAAGCACAAGAAAATATATCTTTCAGACTAGATACTACCTTTTTAGATAATTTTTAGAATAGGAGGAAACATTTTTTGAACACCTGTTTGCCATTTCATACGAATTTGACTTTTAATCCTTGCAACACTGAAGAAAAGTTGTCGCTGAACTCATTTTAGCAGATGCCATTTCAGACATAACACATAGCCTGTTTGCCAAGTAGTTGATGAATTTTGACTGTTTTCCTTAATTGTTTTTTTTTAGTGAGTATTTTTCCAGTCTTGTTATTCTCTTTGCTTCATGCCGCGACATACACAAAAAAGGTTCTTGACGTAAGTAAAACTATGATTTTTTTTTTTTTTTTTACATTCCCACATTACAGCCAGTTGACTTGAATTTGAGCTCTACAACATTTTGGCTTTTGTCACAAAAAGTTTCTCTAATCCTTACAAACTTCCCTAAATTATTTAGTGATTTGAAACTTCGAACTTTGGAATATTTTATTTACATTTCACAAAATGGTATATTTTGTTGACAAAAAGTTGTATTTAAAATTAACCCCCAGTTGCTCCAGGAATTTGTAAAGTTTGAAATAGATCTCTATCATTTAAAGGAATCAAATCTTTTAGGTTTGACAAGTTGGCAGAAATGTCTTGTGCTGTCAGTATTTAATTCTAATATATAAGCTGAGTAGAGTATACTGAATTTCTTTTACTCTACTGCTCAGAACTGGTACTTTCCTAAAATTTCTTATTCCTGGGGTTCTTATTAAGCCTAACTTAAGTGTGCCAGGTAGCTCGACTGCATAGCTTGACTGATATTTGATTTAAAATACCCAAATTTGGCCTGGCTGGTGTAGCTCTGTGGATTGAGTGCAGGCCTGCGAACCAAAGCATTGCTGGTTCAATTCCCAATCAAGGCACATACCTGGGTTATGGGCCAGGTCCCCAATATGGGGTTTGCTAAAGGCAACTACACATTGATGTTTCTTTCATTCCTTCTCTCTCTCCCTTCCTCTCTCTCTAAAAATAAAGCAGTCTTTTTTAAAAATCCAGTTTTGCCTTGCGCTGGCTTTTTTAATCTCTCTAGTTCTTTGTTTACAGGAGTAATTAGACTTGGGAATTTCTATTTCTAGTTAGCTAAGGAGTCACAGATACTTTAACTGTATTACTAGGTAGTCAGATTTCATTATGGTTGGAGAGAAATAACCACCATTTATGTGAAATAATCTAATCTTAAGAAAAATGAAGCATCTAAGAATGAAAAGGACTTGTGTTAAACATTTTTCTTTTTAAATCTTCAAATACAAAAAATATGATCAAATAGGAGAACACACTAACTGAAGTCCTTGAATAGTTGCTGTACTTTATATCATCATTTCCAAATGATTGTCTTTTGGTTGTATGTCCTGTTGAATATGCTATTTTAAAGAAAGATAATAATTGATCAGAAATGCTTTATTATTTCTAATGTTTGTTTTCTGATGTTTTAGGCAAAAGGTTCAAATAGTTTACCTCTGCTGAGATCTATGTTGGATAAATTAAGCGCTAATCAACAGAATATTCTGAAATTCATTGCTTGTAATGAAATACTCTTGATGCCTGCTACAGTTTTTATGCTTTTTAGGTAAGAATAAAAATACATTTGTTTTGGGAGGCTGATGAATATTATAAATATATTAACTCCAGTGAATGTAATAAATGTAGCAAATATATAATGTATATTTATTGATGCAATAAATGTATATGAATAAATATAAATATATTAACAAATTTTATGTTGCTTAAATCCGTTGAAGTAGATACTGGTATGTAGAGCTAGATGAATCTTAGCCATTATCTTTTCACTTTGTAGTGGAATATCTGAGACATAGTAAACCTAGGAACAGGTATTATGTATCAGTCTTTGTGATTTATTATTTAATGTTCAGAAATTAATTTCAGAATAACTAACTACCTTTGAAAAATCTTGGGAAGTCTGGGTTAGTCCATTCTTCTATTAGTAAGATGATTTTTCTTATCCCAGACAAAAAAATCTAAAAAAATTATAGTCTGGTATTAATTGTTGCCTACTACTACCTCCATATTTTATTTGTATCTTAATTATAGAAGTAATGCAAAAAAGAAGTAATGCTTGAATATGGAAAGCCATCCTTTTAAAAATTAGAATGTTAGAAAAGTAGAGTATTGACTATTTCATCAACATTCTTGCATTTAAGTTTTAAAACTACATTTCTGCCTGGATTACTGCTTTTTCAGTTTTTAGTTTCACATGTACTAGGACACTACAAATAAAAGCTACAATACCATTTGGCTATGAATCGTAATAGTATTTCTGTCTCCTTGCAGAGGTAAGGAGTTTGATAACGTGTGTTGTGTCATCCTTTTAAAATGCTTACTAAGCCCTGACTGGTGTGGCTTGGTTGGTTGGGTGTTCTGCAAAGGACAGGCTGCCAGTTCCATCTCTAGTCGAGGTCCATGCCTGGGTTGCAAGTGTGGTCCTGGGTCAGGGCACGTAAAGAAGCAACCAGTCAATGTTTCTCACATTGAAGTTTCTCTCCCTTTCTCCCTTCCTCTTTCTCTAAAAATAAATAAATAAACAAAATCTTTTTAAAAATGCTTATGCAAATAGCTAGAAAATATATATTACTCTATTATGGTTGTGGGGTTTTGTTTAGGTTTTATTTTATATCCAAAGTTACAATGCGTCAGTTGTCTGCGTCTTACGTTTTCTACTCCTATAGTGTTTTTGTGACTTACTTATGTTGACGTACAGAGTTGTTGTTTAAGTTAGTGACTGTGTCGTGTTCCATCATGTTAGCATGCTGCATCTTACTACATGTTCCCTTGTTTGGAAGGGCATTTGTTCCCAAATACTCACTTTTTTTAATCAGTATTATCTCTCACCTGGATACCTGAATTGACTTTGTTCAGTCTAAGCTAGGTGCATTTTGTGTATAATTGAACATGACAGGTTGTCATCTAAAATGTCTATACTACCTGTTTTCTGTAACTGGATAAATTTCCATAGTCTTATTAACATCAAACTTATTTTTGTTTATGAAATATTTTAATGTTATTGCCTGAGGTTTTTACGTACCTGACAGTTACTGCTTTCTTTAACAGTTTCTTTTCAAACTAATAATTTTATCGATTTCCTCATAAAGGCATTTGTTCTATTCTTTTAACTGTTTTCCTACCACCTGTTGCTTGAGTTGTGGGGTCCCAACTAGATAATGTAACCTAATAAAGTTCTAGAATGATACAATGGGAAGACTTCTCATTGGGTATTAGGGATCTGGATTCTAGTTGATTTGACCATTAACTTAACCTTCTGAACCTTGATTTTCCACATTCAAAAAACTAGTAGAAGTAAAAAATTGCCTAAAATCCTTCCGGCTCCTATATTCTATGAATGTTGAATGTGAGCTTTGATGCAGCTGTATTTGTCTATTATTCTGCTCTAAAACTTTTGTCCTGAAAGGTAGTTCATCTCTCTCGTGATTTCTGATCAGACGTTTAGACTCTTTTAGTAAAGGTCCCTGCTACCCCCACCCCCACTTACTTTCTTGTTTTTCTGTTTCTTGGGTCACACCAGGTTCTGTGATTTGCTTCATGTAACTGGATGAGAGTTAAAATGTAGATTCTAAAACTAGTTCTTTGTATGAAGATAATTAATATTTACACTTGATAGTTCTGTTTAACAAGCAAAATAATTTATTCTCTTAAATCAGCTTAAGATAATTATACTGAAATGCTAAGATGTCATGCACACTTAGACAAAAACCTCCTTTGGGGAACTGCAGTGAATTTTTGTTGGAGTGCCAGGTTCTGACTGTACTGGTACATTAACTCAGTTGTGCTGCTTGATCTTTTATTGAAGTACTGCTTATGTACAAAGTGATTTTAGTCTTTCAAGATTACTATAAAGGTGATGAGAATTTATCAGAAATACGCAAATAGAGAAAGCACTTTGTTATTCTAAAAAATTGAAGTAAGGTGATAAAGTTCTATGTAATCCCTAATAGGAAAAGCTGTTAATGCTCTATGTCACTTGAATATAAGACAGGCTATAAAATTAAAGACCATTTTACATATATTTTAAGTATTTATTTATTTTTTTAGAGAGATGGGAAGGGAGGCAGAAAGAGAGAGAGAGAAGCATCGATGTGTGAGAGATCCATTGACCTTTTGCCTCTACACGCCCCCAACCAGGGACCTGGCTCACAACTCAGTCATGTGCCCTGACTAGGAATCGAACTGGCGACCCTTTAGTTCACAGGTTGGCATTCAATCCACCGAGCGACACTAGCCAGGGCCACTTTAAATTCTTTAAGTGACACCTTCATGGTAAAAGCTTACCTAATATTAAAAAGCTTTATTAAGTTATATTTGGAGCAGTAATGCTTAAAGCTCTGTATGAGTTTTAAAATGAACATAAAATATGAGTTTACCTTACACATACATGCACACATGTGCAGTGTACAAAGACAAAAGAATGACACCATAGCTTCATATTGGTCCGTAGAGAGCTTGTTGCATAATAGTACATGCATGAGATAGGCTACTGGAGGCTGTAAAAGGAATGAGGTGAATTTTTTTGTTGTGATAGGGGATGATCTCCAAGATAGAGTAAGTTTAAAAGTTTATTAACACTCCAGGGTGTTCTGCATTTATGTTTTGGGGAGTGTTTATGTGTCATGGCATAGATATGTTTCTTCCTACCTTAGTTTCTTCATATTTACATGGGAATGAGCCCTGACTGGTGTAGCTCTGTGAGTTGGATATTGTCCCACAGACCAAAAGATTCTGCCTATGTTGCGGGTTCATTCCCTGGTTGTGTGCATGTTAGAGGCAACCAGTTGATCTTTCTCCTCCTCTATCTCCCTTGCCCTCACTCTAAAAAGAAATAAAGTCTTTTATTAAAGATTTCATTTATCTTTAGAGAGAGAGGATGGGAAGGAGAGAGGGAGAGAAACATAAATGTGTGATTGCCTCTTGCGAGCTTCCTACTAGGGACCAGCCCGCAACCTAGGCATTTGCCCTGACTGGGAATGGAACTGGTGACCCTTTGGTTCACAGGCCCACGTTCAATCCACTGAGCCACACCAACCAGGGCTAAAAAGAAATAAAATCTTTAAAAAAATAAATGGGAATGATAATAACCACTTCTTTCCTAAAGTTGTTAAATGGATTCAGTGAATTGTAAAGTGAGCACTATACAGTGTTAGTTATTAGATACACTTGTTGTGTATAAATTTTTGGAGGGATGGACATGGTGCTATAACTTTGAGGAAGGAGCTGACTTGGATGATGAGAAGTTTGTTCTTCATTGAATGTTCTTTGCTATCAGTATTTTCTATAGTATGTATATTACTTTTTCAATTTAAAGTTAAAGATTTGTTATAGGATTTGTTAAGAAAAATTAGTGATAAATATGTGATTGTATAAATTATTTTTGTTATGAAGGTAATATCACAATTTAGAAGAAGAGGCTAAAAAATTAACCTGAGAAACAAACATTTCACATCTTAATGTACTTCATTACACACAAAAATAGTAGTATCTGTAGTTTTCTGCTTTCTCCAAAGTTGTTGTATAGTTTTCATAATCAGGATTTTAAGTTCTTGTGTGCTAAGTTCATCAGCTAAACATAATATGTTTACCCCTGCTACCTGCCTGTCCATGTTGTTGCTGCATTTTATCTGTAGTTGTTTCAGTAAATATCTTTCTTAATCCAGGTAGTTTTTCCTAGGAAAGAATTCCAGAATTAAAATTTCATAATCATGTATGACTCTTGGGGTATTGTAATTATACTTTTTAACTAAGAAAAATCATTAGAATAAGGTATGAAAATTTGTAAGTGAGCTTTTGTGAGTTTATTAGTGTTTTTTGTTGTTAAATATAAAATGAATGGCTTTTTAATATGCTACAAAGTTTTAAAACTTAATAATCAATTGTTAGTAATTATGGAAGCATATATAACATTTATGTATCTGATTTATTTAGTAGCTTTTAAAAATTTAAAAAGTAATATATGCATGAATACATACATGCTCATTAAAATTTAAACTAACATTTTATTCTCTACTAATCATATATACATTTTTCTATTTCCTTTTTGACAGTAACTTGGATTTAGATAATGATAGGTATTACTATGACCACTTGATGAATAAAGACATACTCTGCAGTTAAATTGCCTTTAAGTTTGAGAGTGTGTGTATGAATTGATAATGTATTTTTATTACTTTTGTATTTGTTTATTTCAGTGGTCAAGGAAGTTTGCTCCAGCCTTTTATATACTATAGATTCCTTACTCTCCGATATTCCTCTCGAAGAAATCCGTATTGTCGGTAAGCTGGTGATTAGTTCAAATATGTTTTGTTAAGAGTATTGTAATGTGCAGTACTTACAACTTTTATATGATTTAGCTTTTATGTTAGAATTTAGAAGCAAGCAGTGTTTTTGTACATTTAAGTTCTAGGCCTCAGAACTATCTAGGGTGCATGAGAAGGTGTTTGTATTTCTTTCAAAAACTGAGACTGGAGTTATCTTGACCACCTCAAAAAGAGTACTAAAGCTTCAGGGATTTAAAGATGGGTAAGACAAGTCCCACAAGTCGTAAGGAATTTTCATAGCTGAAGAAACAAAACATATGTCAAATAATAAAAGAGGAAAACACTGGTTGAGGATACAGTATTCACAAGTCAATTTGTGACTATAGTTGTTGTATATTTACTTATCATATTGGTACTATCGTCCACTGGAGGGAAGAATCATTGAGCCAGAATGTAGAAGAGCCTGGGGGAGTTTCACAAAATAGAGATTTAATTGGTTCTGGAAGGAATGAAGTCTTTGAGTCAGTGGTGAGAATGGGTAAAAGCATTTTACGTGCAGTGACAAGTAGGAGTACAGGTTTGGAGGTAACAGCCATGTTTAAGGGGCATTGAGTGGACCTGTTGGGCACCTGAGGAAGATTTTGAATGGTGGGTGGTGGAGCAGTGATTAAAATGGTGTCTTGGAGCCATATCATAAAACGTTCTGAGTTTCACGGTAGGAAGTGCGGAATTTATCTTTCAGAATATGGGACAGTGGTTTTGATGTGATCATAATAATCTTCAGATAGCCTTTTGCAGAACCCCTCGAGTGGAAAAATTGAAGATTATGTTAGTGACTTACTGTAGTGTTCAGGAATGGAGGCTTAAATTGTTATGCTTATCTCAAAAGTTATAAAGTTGAAATGAATAGCTGTTTTTAATAGCCTCTGAAATGTGTTATTCAGATAGTGTTGTTAATGTAGTTTTTGTTTTCGAGTTTAAAATAAGTCGAGCATGTAACAGAATTCAACCAGAAATCCACTGAGTACATTAGCATGATTTCTGTTGTATTTTCACATGCAAAGTAAATAGAACTAAATTTGAATGCTGGCCTATTACTTGCTAGGTATGTGACTTTAGACAAGTTATTTCTTCATTGGTAGAGGAGAAAACTTGGGGAGAAATGAAGTAATGGTTTAGAAGATACTGATTCTTTTTTGTTTTAGAGTTTTTACACTTTCTTAGACAATTTACAATATTTCCTAAAATAGAGTTTACTCACATTAGTCATAGATTATTAACTAGTCCCTACTTGCAAATAAACCTTCCATTTTACTGATTCCATAAGCTTTTGCCTTTTTCCTTTCTGGTCCATGTATTCATTTCAGATATTTTCTGGTCCCCTGCCATCCAGTTTTCATCAGATTTGTTTTTATCTACTTCTTTATGCCCTCTTCTCCACTCACATTTTTCCACATACCCTTAAATAAGGTCAAAACAAACAAATTGAGAAGTGTCCAGTGAAATAAAAAGGGAAGCATAACAGTGGATGAAGATAACACAGTTATGTAGTAATAAACATCCTCAGAGTTCTCACATGAGTGCACATTTTAACCAAAACTGTGGAAAGGTAATGGAAGGTATTTGAGCCTGTAGGTATTGGTATATGGGCTGTAAAGCCACAATTTCTATACCACACTTTGTTAAGGGTTTTGAGGCAGTCTAATGGCCAATTTGTACCATTTTTACCTATTATGATATTTATTCTCAAGTTAGTGGTATCAGTGCTTATAGATGCCTCCTGTAGATTGTCCAGAGCTGTGTAATATGGTAGCCACTGGCCACATTTGACCATTTACATTAAAATTCATGAAATTTAAAACTCAGTTTTTGAATTAATTATACTAACCACATTTCAAGTGCATTTTGGTCATCGCTGAAAGTTCTGTTGTCAGTGCCTCTCCAAACCAGGTAACTCTGTGACTTTATCTAGATTATGTCAGGGTAGGAACCAGCCGTGTGGCTTTGGGCCAGCCTCTTTCAGCCATGTCTGTAACTTGAGAGTATTCGACTAGAGTATTTTTCATGTGCCTGCTAGCTTTATTCATTAGATTTATTTATTTAGAAGATATGATTGTGTGTTGGTGATAACATGTTTTTGTACTTTTGAAGTACCTGCTTTCTAGCAATTTAGGGCCAAGTGAATTAGACAGCTATATATAAGGCAGTGTGATGACGACGAAGGTGCTGCTGTGAATGCACAGAGAACAGAGGGAGAGGGATGAAAATACACTGAGGAGCTGGTAACATAAGCCGAGTCTTTTGGAGTCTGAGTTCTGGCGGGGGGCCTGAACGGGCTTGGCATAGCAGCGGTGCCTGTTGCTTGAGCTGAGGAGAAGTGTATAGGAAAACAATAAAGATCTGGGCCAAGCAAGGTAGGTGGGTCGTGAAAGTTTGGATTTTATTTCAAAGTAAGAAGAACACTTGAAGTTTCGAATGTGGAGGGGTTAAGAATGTAGTGAAGTCTGATTTAGAAATATCATTCCAGATGGTGGATTACAGGCTCACCAAAAGGAGAAAAAGGTAGATCAAAGACTGTTAGAGTAGTCCAGAGCCTGACCTAACTCACTGGTAAAGGAGGAGATAAATGTGAGAGATACTTAGGAGGGTAGGAACTTAGGGTCTGGGGAAGGAGAATGAGACAAAGACGCCCTCCAGGTTTCAAGCCTGGGAACCTGAGTTGTGAGTAATAGGGCTGTCACGAAGGAGGTACAAGAAGAAGGGCAGGCTTTGGGATAAATAGGAATATTTCCAAATTTTCTTCCTGTCTTTGTGTGAGAGCATATTACATTCTTACTTTTTTTAAACAGTAGATTATTACTTTTTCCTAACCATAGAAATAACAGAGGATATAGGAAGATAGAGCAGGAGTTGTGAATAGTCAAAAATTACCTTTGTTGATCCTTCAAATCACCTATAGATTACAGTATACATGGTATTGTGTCTGCTAGTTTATACAATTTATGTAACGTTTACAGTATGTAGTAAAGAGTACTTTGTAGGCAACGAGCACAGTTAAGGCAAAGTCAGAGTCTGCAAACATGCAACATAAGTGAACATGGGAGTCATGGCAGAGTGATGGGGGAGAAGCAGGAATGTGATGGAAACCAGGTTCTGGGGGGCTTCAGGCTGAAGGCAAACAAGTGTCTATTTGATCAGTGGAATGATCCAGGTGGGCAGTAACATCCAGTGAGCATCTTCTTTGTTCTCCCACGGAAACCTCGCTCTCACCCTGAGATACGTATTCCTGTTTTATAAATGGAAGCTGTAAGAGGCCGTGTGTTCATTTAAGGAAATAGTACGTGGGATTACCCATGTTATGTAACTTTCACTGTCTTGCCCTCTTTTTTAGAACTAGTTGAATTTGCCTAAGTTAAGACATGATTTTACTGTAAAGCTGTAAATCATCCCTAACCTCAGCCCTCACAGGTAGCCATTTATTAAATGCTTTTGTTTGAACTTTCTCCCCCAAAAGACAGGTGTTGATGTAAGAATTTTATTTTGTGTTTTCCGTGAAAAACTGTTGGCAGTTCATTCTAGTTATTACTTCTTCAAATTCTTTATGGCTGTGGGAAATTTCTTCATCAGCATTTGCTTTGTATCATGTTGCTTTTTTTTCTTGTGTTTGTGAAAGAAAACTGTTTTATTTTGCAGGACCTTGTTTAATGAATTGAGGATTATTGTCGAACATATAATAATGAAACCTGCTTGCCCACTGTTTGTGAGAAGACTCTGTCTCCAGAGCATCGCCTTTATAAGCAGATTGGCACCAACAGTTGCGTAGCATAATATCCAGCTAAGTTAAATATAAATAAGCATTAGTAGCAGCTGATACTTCTGCTAGAGATTGTTAATTCCAGGTGTGAAACTGACCTCAGTCCAATTTACATAAATTCATCTTAATGGAAAATAACATTTTCCTGGCATGTTGAATCAAGCCTTTATAAAAAAGTTTCTAAGAAAATTCTGTGTTGTGTTGTTAATGGTTAAGGAAGTTTGTATTTTGTAATAAATGTATCAAATTTTTTTAGATGCTGCTGTGCCTTTATCATGTATGTTTATTTCTCTTGTAACAATAGCTCTATAATTTGTTTCAACCTAATTGGTAACCTGAATTTATTTATATCCATAAACATGGAAGATATATAAATAGTTATATAAATAGTTAGCTATATAACTATTTATACCATAATAGTTCATTATGGTAACATTTACATATGTGAATTCAGCATATTTTGAGACAGTATTTTGCCATTTATAAATTTTGGTAGATGATTGAAGCCACATTCCCACTGTATTTGACTTCAAATTGTTATTAAATTGATTTTGTGCTGCTTTGTTAGGACAGATTAATTTTGGATGTGCTATTATAAGAGGAGTTCAAAATTTTATTTCCATGAATACTTCTGTAGATTTGAATTTTTCTTTTAAAGGCTCAACTGTAAGCTTATTGGCCAATGAGATAAATATTTGGAGTCCCCTAGTCATTATATCAGAAAGCAGTAGTCACACAGTTTTAGGAAGTCGTTCTTTTACAGTGTGGACACATATGTTACTAGTGTTACTATAGTTCCTACATCAAATTCTTGACTACTGTTTTTCTCAGATTCTTACGCTTGAATTTTCATGAGACAGTTGTAGCAGTTCAGGTACCTTTGAAAGGATTGTAACTGAAGATTTATTATATGACTATACTCACTGTTTCTTCTGAAATAATAATGAAGATTATCCTGTACATTCTTTACCCATCAAGTTTGATTGAAAGGTTAAATGGGAAGGTGTATAAGTGAGGTAATTGATTCGGGGGAAGAACATACATTTCCTATTTCATGATGGACAAATTTGGGGGAATTGGATGTATTGCTGCAGCTGTGATTTGGGTTGTATGATATGTTAAATCCTGTTTACTGACCTTCTATCAACTCTAGAAAGTTTACTTTGATCTTTATTGTTGCATGATTAGAAATGTTTAAAACATTGCAAAAATTCTAGTACAGAGTAATGTAATAGTTTTTGTAACCTGTTCTTTCTGCATGTAATTTGGATTTCTCAAATACATTCATTGGTAACTTATTAGTAAGATCAGTTTTCTTTTTGTTCAACTTTTGATCTGTAGAAATGTGATATCTACTTGATAGCTCAACCATAACCAGCTCTTTTTGTAACATTTTTCTACTCAGAGAAGCAGCCTCATAAAATAGTTGATTGTGTGTGTGTGTGTATGTGTGTGTGTGTGTGTGTGTGGCTAGCCTCATTATTACCATATATGTAATCTGATTATTTTAAGAACTAAATTTTCTAGAGCAATAAAGTGACTATAATGTTAAGTAAACAGTATATTATTGATATCTAAAGATATTTTTAAAGTTTATGTCTTGAATTATATTGAAATTTTGGCAGTGAAGGCACATTTTTAAGTTACTAGTTTTTTTGGTTTTGTTTTTACAAATTTTTAAATCTCATGATAATTTTAGATTTATAGAGGTGACTAAAAAATTAATCCTGGAACAACATTGTTCACTAAAGTACAGACCTATTCAGAATTTCACCAGTTTTTACACTTGTTAATATTCTTTCTGTGCGCTCTGTTTTACTGTGATTATTTATTATTTACTTTTAGTGACCTATAAATGTGCTTGTATTTTGAGTTTTTCTTTTTTTACTCTGAAAATTACTGTTGGCTAAAAAAATTTCCTAAGGAAAAGAATTCATCTGGTCTTTAACATTTGGACTTTCACAGATTAAAACACTGTGCTTTAAAAGTCGAGGCTTTTTATCAAAAACAGGATTATATTTCTGACATGCTCATGTTTGGCTGTTCTTTAAAGGAAGGCTTGATTTATAAATGAAATATTCCTACACTCATGAAAAAGTACATTTTACGATTTGAACATTACTAGATGTTTAGTTTGCATGAACTTACAGTCACAGACTCTAATAAGAATACGTACAACCAGCTGATACGGCATCCCAAATTATAGTGTAACATGCATACCTATCAGTTAAAATTAAGGAACTACAATAGCACTATATAGAATGAATGTAGTAGGAGAAAATTAGCAGCATAGCTGGCTTGCTTAAGCAGGCTTAAAAAAATGATTTAACATCCAGAATATCTAATACTGTAGCAGATTCTGTTCTTCTACCATTTTTAGATATTACACTTTCTTGGACAGGGGAAGCTTCATACAAAACTTCCTTTATCCAGTAGTAAGTGTATATTCCATTTCTATACTGGATTCCCCATGAATTTAAACTTGAACATCATTCCAAAGAGAAATTTCTTAAATAACAATTTGTACTAGTAAATTTATTTGGGATAAAATTTACCAAGGTAGATAGATGGTCCTGGAAGTAAGCAAGAATGAAAGCTTGCCTTTAAAAAAATTTGTTTTAGATATTTAGGTTATCTCCCTTACAGGGAAAATCAAGGCATGTTAATATTAAAACCAGAAGTTACAAAAGATTTATGAGGTCTATTGTAGAACTAAAATACAGTGCTATCAGAATACTTCCTTTCTTCCTGAAAGTCAGGATCACACATTCAGATTAGGTTTGTAGGCTTAGGATATAAGTATTATTCCTCTTGGAAAGAAAATGATTATATATGTAACACGACAAGTGGAACTAACGTAGTTTTTGAAAGTTTGAGATCAGAATGAATAAAATTAATTTTGAGGGATTGTGGTGAAGATACTTATCTAATGCTAAAGAATTTAATTTGATTAATATAATTATTCTAAAACTTCTTCCCTGCCCAAAATCCCTTAGGATCTGCTAGCCTCAAAGCTGTTAACCAGATTCCAACTAATTTTGCTACCTATTCTGGCACAAAAACCTCAGGGGGGAAAGTAACCACCGACAGGTCAGTGTGTTTTGATCAGTAGGTGGCGCTCTTTCCTCAAGTGGCCCCCCAGTTTCACCTGCATTGTGGGAAGGTTAAAAAGCCACTAAAAGAGCTGAGTCAGCCATAAAACTAAGGATTTTAATTCCATGACTTTTTAAAATATGTAATTACTCAATATTCAAGTATTTGGCAAGCATTTATTCTGAGTACATATTTAGAGTATTGAAATGCTCAGAAGCTGGAAAATGTGTCCTGTTAATAACAGCTTTCTAGGTAAACAGTAGAATAGGCTACAGTTGTGAGAGGTATTATTAAGATCATGTCTCTTTTTCTTCTTACTGTAAGTTTCTACATCACCCAAGCAAAATCAGTCATAAAATTGTTCTTTTTTCAGGTGTGTAGAAAAACAATACTTAAAAATTTTTTCATGGTTATTTTGTATATACTAGAGGGTATAGGCAGTTTGACCTCTTAAAATTTAAACTTTTATAGAAATAAAAATGCATATTGAAATTTTTGGGTATTAGGAATGGTACCTAGATTGGTAAATTCAGTTTGAGTTGCAGAGACACCTAGTTTCTTTTAATACCTCGTTGGAATTTCTCTAGGATTAGAGTTCTGCAGAGGCTTTATGGTAGTATAGCTCAATAGAGAGTATACCAAAGCATGTGTTTATATATCCGGGAGCTTTTTCCAGGGGTTGTTTTAATGAGCAGTCCTCTTATAATATTCTGGGCAGAAAGTTGTTACGGGATCTGGAATTAAGAAAGGAGTAACTAGAATTTGGGGAGGTGACGACTTGGAATTGTGAACACACAAAGTATACAGATGATGTATTACAGAATTCTATACCTGAAACTTACAAAATTTTATTAACCAGTGTCACCCCAATAAATTCAATAAGAAATTGAGGGAGGCTTCCTGGTAGTAGTAATTATTCTAGGACATGTGTATCTTCTAAGGTGACATCCAAGTGGGTTCTTAAAAGGAACACGTTCCTGTGTGAGGATCAACTCTCGGATGGCCTTTCTCCTTCTGTGCAGAGCGAGTAGGAAGACTGACCGGCCTTGACTTTCAGTTGACGTGAGAAGAGATAAAGTACAGTATTTTTAAAAATCTAACGCTGATTCTTTTTCTTAGAAAGTGATAGTGAAAAATTATTGATGGGTATCTTTGCTGGACTCTAAAATTTAGGCTGCATTCCAGGAGAAAAAGGCCCCAAGATCATTTCACTTTTTCCTTCGTATCCTTCTGAAGCTACTTTTTTGATGTGCTCAGTATTTTTAAACCTTTTTTTCCCTCTTGGTTCATGACACTTTAATTCTAAACTTTGACTTTTTTTTTACCTTAAAGTAAAAAATTGCTTCTGACATACATTTTTGCTTACATCAGTTGAGACCAAATGGGCAAAGTCTTGGGCAGGTGACATTTGTGATGTGTTACATTGGAACGGGTGTACAAGGGTCGCAAGGATTAGAGTCATAAAAAACTGCTTGATTTATAAATGCATTTTTCTGGTGCTCTATATAATGGGATATATTGAACTAAAAAATTTGTATATACAGTATGTCAGCATTTCTTAGTAACTTCTCGTGAATCCATTTTTAATATCTAATATTGTACAGGTTGGGGAGTTACACTCTTCAGGCCAATACCATCCAGACTATATAAATTTATAAAATAAATTGAAAAATTCATCATTCCCCTGTATTCAAGACCAGAGCACATAAATGCTAATGTAAGGCTCAGAGGGAAAATACATTTCTCCTCAATATTTGAGAAAATGTGAAGTCCTTTCAAGAAAATCTAATAAGCATAGTAATCATAGCCTGCTGACACTAAGGAAAAAGGACCTCATTTGCTCTTTCTTTTATGCAGCGATTTACTGGTCCCTACTGATTTCCAAATTGGATCACTGTAGTAAATTATCTGTGCTGGTACCTGTGAAAGTAAGCCCTGGGATCCATATTTGTTTTGTGTTCTGCTTAAATCAGCAAGAATGATAAATTTGATGGTGTGAAATTGGACGTGTCAAGGGCTTTCTTTGGTAATTGACCAAAATAATGTCTCCACTTGTAACTTACTGGGCCCCTCTTTCACTGTATGTGCTTTGTGTATCTAATATTTATTTCGGTACAAATTAAATTGTTGTTCCTTCATCTGTATTGTTATAGCTAAGATTTTATTGATGTAAAAATCAAATTCTGTAATAAAAACCTCTCTGGATTTAAGCAGATTTGAAAATGTTATGTTGCAGAAAACATTTAGTTAGAATTCAGCTTTCCATTGTGCTTCATTGCCTTATTATTAGGATAAAGGGGTTTTGAACACTTCCCTTGTCCTCAGTTCGTCACAAGTAATAGAAATGGTATAGTTTAGTAATCTAGTATGAAATGGGGGAAAATAATGATTTAAGGTGAGACTGAAAAAAAGGTTACAGTGGGTCTCTCAGCTGTTCGCCTGCTTCCTGGTGTCCTTTTTCGTTTAGTGAGATTTATAGCCTTTAGGGTATGAGTTACTTATAACTCTCAAATGATTTACAACATACAATATATCCAAAGAAGTAAGTCAACTCAGGACAACACAGGAATACATTTTCCTTCCAGGTGTGTAGAGTTGGCAGATACTTATTTTCTGTGGCAATTTTTAACTATTTGTGGTAAGCAAAGCACAGCACAAGCAAGCTCAACAAATCCTTGTCCATTTAGAGATTAGAGTCTAAGAGGCATTATAGAAAATCAGTTATATAAAGACAATTGTGACAGTTGAGTAAACATTGAATTAGTAAACGAGTTGTCCACATAAGGGGAAAAGAGTATAAGAAAATGGATTTCCCAAAGATTTAACGGTGTAGAGCCTTAGGGACTTAATACATTGTTGATTCCCGTGCTCTTTCCTTTAGCATATGGGAATACATGGAGCTGTTTTATAAAAATCTAAACTTTGGGAAGGGAAGGGTCATCTCATTCCTCACGGCTAGCTGAGTGGAGAGACTCCTCAAAGAAGTGGTCAGCTGGGATCCTTGAGAGTTGACAGTCTAAGCAGGTGATTTGTCAACAAAGTGCTTTTTAAAATTTATTATGGTGGGTTTTGAACATACATAAAAATAGAATGGTATAATGAAAACTTCCTGTTACCACCCAGCCTCGCCAATCCTCCAGCCCTGCCTTACCCTCACTTGTGTTCACCTTCCCTTCTGGTTTAAGTAGTTGCACAGTATTTTGCATCCCTTAGTAAAATTTTCATTATGTGTCTCAGATACAAATCTTTGAGATTAATGTTTAGAAAACAACAAATCTTTTAGGTTGGATGACTGGAAGTGATTAAGAATGGTACCCTGATATGAAAAAGGGTTGTACAATTTTATAACAAGCATAAAATAAAGAGGAAAATTCTTGTATTTTTTTAGTGGAAGGAAGACTTTTCCCCTATTTCTCCTCTCGGAGAAAGTCGGAGACCACCATCCTCTTGGCAAAATGGTAGAAAGGGAGATTTTGCCTTCCCTCACTATCCTCTTCCCTACTAAAGGGAAAAGTGTATCTAATGAGTTTTCCTTTAAACTGTGGAAGTGTGGGACTTGGGCAGTCTTACCAGATGGGGGGGCAGGTTGTTCAAAGGAAGGGAGTGGTGTTAGGCAAAGAAGGGGGTAAGTAATTTGGGGCTGATGTAAATTAAAGAGATTTGACATTAGAACCATTGTTTTCAGTAAATTGCTTTGTAAATATTTACAGATACATTGTGAAATTTAGATTAATGTATTCCCAATTTTATTTTTAAATGTATATTCATTGAAAAATACCCAGTAGTTTGTAGTATTTTTTAAATAAAATTCTTCACATTTGGAACTCTACAACCATCATTACCTAGAGTTCTGAGAGCAATAGGCCATTTCACTTAAATAACAAACAAACCAGAACCCTGAAGACAGAGGTGAAACTTGGCAGTGATCCAGAATAATGTGGCTATGTCTTTTTTTTTTTTTTTTTTTTTTAATTCACAAAAGATAGTTGTATAAACAGGTTTCTCCAATCTGGAGTAATGGTCCTTGACACTGAATTACCAGGTTCATTTTTTGTAGTTCAATTTAGTAACATCCAAAGCATATAGGACATCTTTTGAAATGCCTAGAAGTTACACTTTGCCCCTTTATCTAAAAGGCTAAACTTCCTTTTTGGATTTACTGTATTATTGGGCTTATTTTGAATGTGTTTTTTTATGTGAACTTTATATTTCCCTTTTCTGAGGACAATCCTCAATTTCAAAATAAAAGAACTCTTCTTACAAAAATCCTGGAACAACTTGCAGAAAATAATTTGGGGTCTTTTATATTTTTAGTTATGGATATATTTCTGGGAAGAAAATATTTTTCTAAGTGAATAATTAAACATTTACCCTAATAATTAAAATGTACCAGAGGGTATTTTTTCTTTGCCTTTTAATATCGTGGTAAAGTCAAAGGATATGTAAGGCTTATTACAACTGGTTATGCTTATTGTATTTGCTTTAAAAAGGGTTGTGGAGGCAGAAACTATAACTATACACATTAATATAGTACCAATATGCTTGAAATAATATCAGTATCTTTTAATGATTTGGCATTAAAATGTACAAATAACTTTGAAACAGGTTTATAAAGTCTTCATCTATTTTCTATATACTGTTACCAGATTTTCAAATTTTAAGATACTGGAATCTCTTTAATTATAAGCAAACTGCCCCCTGGTGGCAAGTTTTCTGAAAAATAATTCTAGTGGCTCTCATTTCGCATGGAATAAGAAACCATAGGGTGAGGGGAGGAGAGAAACATTGCCTGGTTCTTGATTTTATTTCCAGTCGGTTTTGACATCAAACACCTAATCAGGGTTATAAAGGGCTTATTACAATATCAACCTTTTAGTGTATAAAGGTTTTCAGACCATTATCATTATTATTGGTTTTCAAGATGCCTGAGTAAACTAATTTTCTGCATTATATTTATGAGACAAATAGCTAGACCTGTGTCTATTTTAAGACTGGAAAACCACAATTCCACGGAGGGGTCTGTGGGAATTCCCGTCTGATGATTTACGAAGGAAGTCATTAATAGAGTACAACCCTCACCCAAACCATGCTCATGGAGGATGCATTTTATAGTTGAAGTGGCAGTCCTAGGAAACAGCAGCCACGGATGTTTGGGGGATACCAGCATAATGGCTATTCATAGTTAGCTTGTTCTTTATTTAAAGTGTGTAGAATAAATGATTCAGTACTTAGTAGATGCCTCCATATATTTGCTGTTTGCCCAACCTCAGAAGGTCATCCTAGAAATTGTCTTCAAAAAAAGTTTTGAGCAGAAATGAGAGGAAATACTTTTCTCCCATAAGTGAACAGTTTTGGGTTATCAGTAATGGTTTTCTTATAAATGGATCTAACTACCATGCCAGGGAAATAAACAGTATTACATAACCATTTATACCAAATACTCAAAATTCTTTCCTTGCATTAATACATTATCACTCACAGACATCTGTGCCATTTCTGTATAATCTTTGCTTGGGTTTTGCTTTGAGTTTCCCCATCCCATTTCTCCTCCAGCATTTATACACACTTGCTACTCTATATTTTTTCATTTAAACTTTAGAAATTTCAAGATGCATGCTTAAGAGTGTTTGAGGTTAAAAGGATCTACATTTACTTCTGCCAGGTGCCATGGGGCACTACCAAACTAGGACCACTTTAAACTAAATTTTTAGCTCTAGATTTTTTATTTATAAGTATAAATTTGGGGCACAATGTCATGAATACTGGCCTGTGGTTGTGACTTCTTAGGGGAAATTTTTCTTCTCTCTACCTGGCACCAAGGTAGACAGGCCACCTTTCCTAGCTGTCTCATTAGACTTCGAATGCAGTGGTTACGCAAATGTTTCCTATTAGATTCCCCTCCTTGGGTGGGCCTTCTTTTTGTCTCACACTCAGTGTCCCTCCCCCCACCCCAAGTGTACTAGTAGTGAGAATAGACTACGTGTGTGCCTACATGCCTCCTGAAAATTCTTTACATTTTGCCTCCTTGGAGTTGCTTCTGAGGTGTGTGCATGTATGTTTATAACATACTTTTAGGTTGATTTTAGCTGAAAGATTATTTGGGGTGTGTCTAGTTGGCCACACCAGAAACAGTTCAAAGTTCGGCTTTGAGCTTTGAGAGCCGGTCAGCATTCTAGGAAAGGTTTGTTTGGTAGAGTTTTATTCTGAAGACTCAAAATGCCCCCAAGTTTTCTCCAAAGACAGACGGGACCTGAATAATCTTTTATTGCCCATCAAGATAGAGATGGGAACATAATGGAAAACAGAGGACAGGAAAAGTTTGGGGAGAAAGGGCAGATAGAGGCTGCGTAGGTGGTGAGAGAACAGGAACCAAGAGAGAAAGAGGGTTAATATCTGTCTGAGGTCAACTGTGATCTGACAAGGGACTTCATGGGAAAAGTAAATAAATGTTTCACCACATTCTAGTTGTTTTTTTTTTTTTTTAATTCAGGCTGTGTCTGGTTTCGTTCCTCCTGTTGGATTCAACTGATATACCAGCTCAAATGTCAAAACATGATCAAGGAGTTACAAACACATATTAACATCAGCATAATGTCAGGAAGTCCACAAATGGTCCTTCCAGCCTGTGGACATTCTGTTTCACTGAGCCTCAATTTCTTCATTCGTAGAATGTGGCAAGCAGAGAATTATGTTGAAGATTTTTGAAGCTGAACATATTTGTATACTATAAAGGTGTGTATAAACAAATAGCTACATTTTATATTATCATTTTACATTAGGAGATTCTGGGATTCTTGAAATTTAAAGAATTTCCCTCAAGATCCTACTTAATGAATCAGTGTTGTGTTGGTTAAAACTTAAGTTGCTGTGTTTTATGTCAACACCTTTCTGGGCCAAAAAGAAACTCTGGACCTTTTAAGAGAATTTTACTTTTCTTTTTTCTCCTCAGTAAAGTACACAACCTTGTGTTGACAGATTTTATTTTTTTACTTTCAAGTAAATTCCAGGAACAGAAAACAAAAATGTTACTTAGTAAACTCAGACCAGCTTCTGTGACTAAGCTCTTTCCTGAAGTACATCTTCAAAATCAGTAACTGATTCAGTGGCCTCCAGCACATGCTCTTTGTAAACTTTGCCAAATGAATGCATAAAAAGGGTGCAAAAATATCCTATAAAATGCTCAAAACTAAATTCATCTATAATGTGCAGAGAATGAGGCTCAGAATTCTGTCTTCTTTATGGAATCTCCTAAAAATTGGGAATGACTTGATTCTTATCCTAAGTGACACGCCTGGGAAGTAGAGGACATAAGACCATCCTCCCAGGAAGGCAGTGAAGCCCGGCCCCGCTCTAGGGTTCTGAAGTCTGAAAGACCTGGTTTCGGTCACTTCTTAGCTGCGTGACCTGTTTCTCCTGTAAAATGGAGCTAATACCCCATATGTTACAAAATAAAACGTGCCAAGCACAGAGAGTTTTAACATAGTGCTTCACATAAAAGGGCTCAAAACATTTTGGCTGTCGTCTTTTAGAACAATTCGGTGGAGTGCTTTACGGAATAAATTGAGTAGTTATCATAATTTCCCACTTATATCCCAAAGAGCCAAAAAACAATAATTATTTTCTAGGTACTGTTTAGTAATAATGGATGACCACATCCCATTTTCTCCTCTACCCAGGTACTAATAACTTATTTTTTAATTTTATAATAATAATAATTTTTTATTAAAAATATATTTTAGAGAGTGAAACATTGACTTGTTGTTCCACTCATTTACACACTCATTGGTTGGTTCTTACATGTGCCCTGACTGGGGATGGAATCCACAACCCTGGTGAATTGGGACAGAGCTCTAATCAACTGAGCTACCTGGCCATCGCTAACTTTTTTAATTGTCAAAGAAAGTTTACGTTTTGGAGACTACAGCATATTGTGATATAATAGTAAGAGTATAGAATAAGGGTCAGAATCCAGGTTTCAGTAGTAACTGCCTTGTACAGATCTGTGATGGTGGGTAATAATGCATTTAATCACCCTTCACGTCTCTTCCCTTTTTTGAAAAATAGAGTAATATAGGGTCAAAATCATCAATGAATGTATGATGGGATGCGATTTTCTTCCCTGTCGTTCCTTTCCATTTTCTAGAATGCTGAATTCTAGAGGCTAGATTAATAGAAGGGTTTTTTTTTAAAAAATAGAAGTGTTTTAAAAATGATATTACCTAAATTAGAGAAGTAGAAAAAGTATCAGTGTAGTGAGGAAAGAGCTAATTGCATCAGATATTTTATCTAGGAGTCTGGCCCCCATGGAGTGCCCCCAACCTCATCGTGAACACTCAAATTCTGAAACCTGCCCACTCTCAATAGCAGAACCAGTTGGAGCATTTCTTCTCTCCTTCCCTGCTTTGTTTGTCAACAGTACTTATCATTCTCTCATAGTGCTTATCATATAACACATAGAACTACCATATACTTATTTCTTTTATCATGTCTCCCCCCACTGGAGTATAAGCTTCATTAGGACAAGAATCACTTTCTGTTTTTTGATTGCTAAAAGCCAGTTCCCAGAACATAGTAGGCACTTAATGAATGCACACAGATTACTTTAACAAAATACCTTCTAGTCAGTTAAACAGAAACAGATTTTTTTAAAAAGGATATTGGGTAGCTAACAAAATCCAGAAGGGGAGAATCGGGTGTGGAAGGATGCAGCTTCTTATTGCAGTTTCCATTGGAGATAGTCATCACTATTGGGACACTATCCTGGACTTCTGCACCTGTTACCTCTGAAAACTGGATGTGTCTTTGCCTTACATCTCCTCTCTCGCCAAAATGTATTCCATGAAATTCCTTGCTCTTTCCATTTTTTTTTCTTTCAATTTGAAGCCTTTCTGGTGGTTGCTTCGAGCCTCTATCATACCTGTGGACCCTAGCTGCAAAGGAACCTGGGAAAGCAAATTTCAAACATCTACCTTGGGGAGGTAAACCCACAAGACTGGAAATTCCCCAGATATTTGAACTACATTCGAAGTGTGCTGGGCAGCCGCAAAATACAAATGTCCTTCATTGGAACTGAGTTCTATCATTAAAAAATTTTTTTTTCCAGATCTGGAGACCTGCATTTAGTTGAAAACTGGACGTTTAATCCAGAATTTGTTTTCAATAGCAACTGTTAGACTGTCTGCTTTCAAATTTGTGTCTTCATTCCTGACCTTTGTTCTAAGCTTTATCAGTTGCATATTTTCTCTTTTGACATCCTCGTAAATAGCTAAAACCTATCACCTGAAGTATGGTTTCCATCATGGACTTGTAATTCTTGGTGGCGGGGGTGCAGTGACTAAACAATTTAATGCTTTCTTTACTTATGCAAAAGGAGTAAGAGTATCAGCCCATTATCAGGAAAAAAAAACCCCAGCAAGGTTGTAAAATATTGGGCTGTCTCAGAGCTTCTCACCTGTTACTGCAAAAACCACTGTATTCAACAACTAGGTCAGTGAGTATGCTGCCCAGTTCAAATGATGTATTAGATTTCATAGCTAGTCTTGACACCATTGAACCACTTTTTCAATAACTTTCTTCTTTTTCTTTTTTTGCAAGTATGGAACAGGAATGACTGCTAAATTATTAGATATTTAAGTTTAGAATTCACTGTCATTGTTGCATAATTCAGTTGCTTAAGTAACATTTAGCAGATGCTACAGTGCAAGTTAATGAATAATTATTTTTTTGTACTCTGACCTTTGATTGCAGTTCATTTGTTACAGCCATGTTGGTTTAGTAATTATCCCAGTCCTTGGAAAGTCTCATGCCTCTTAATGGTCTACTTCTGTTTACTTCTACTTCTCTTAATGGTCTCTTCTATAAAGAGAAATGTGAAGTTCTTCAATTGATTTATTCATTATTGTAAATAAGCCAAAGCCACAGTCAAGCTAGTTTACTATTTCATGGGCACTCTTCAGTCTTCAGCATTCAAGGGCATATTTTTGGCATGTTACAAACCATGCTTTGGCTTCCCTTCTCCAAACTTGGCTCTTTCTTAACCATGAAACAGGGCAGGGACGGAATTATTTTCCTCCTGTCACTACCAACCCTAATAAGCAATGAAAGCAATTCAATCTTTTTGGGGGGCTTTATTCAGATGGCCAAAGATCTGAGAAGGTGGCGGGTTCATACCCTAACAGACCATCTTGTCTTTTCTTTCCAGGCCAAGGTTTTTATAGCAGGGAATAAATAAGGTGCAGTGAGGGGTTGTTAAGTTCAGGGAGGATTAGGTGAAAGAAATGGCGACATTCCTGTCCTGGGCATTTAGTTCTTCCCAGGGGCGGGTCTGTCTCTCCCTGGAACACAAAGGTCCAGATGCCTCCACTTGTCCCCAGGCGGTAATCTTTAGCGCTGCGCCAGAAGGTCGGCTGTTTTCCCAGGAGCCAGGACGGACCTCATCTGTAGTTTCTGAAACAAAAGCTTTAATATATACATTACTTACTAGGCTTATAACTTTTTACCTTAAACTAAAATTTTCCAACTCCAGTCCCCTATCACTTTCTTCCCAACTTTCATCCTGCTTCCAACACATGGCCTTGGTTTCAAGCCCCCCCCCCCAAAAAAAAACAACCCAGCACACAAAAGTTCCAAAGGCTGTCAATTCTCTGAAGGATTTCTTGGCTGTTAAGTTGAAAACAACTTACATCGTTATTTCAAGGGAAGGGGAAAAAGTGCAATTGCACAAAGAATACACCCCAATATTCAATTGCAGCCACGCCTTACCCACGCTGCTCCCTCCAGTCCCACGACGGCAGAGCCTGGCGATTCGCTCACGTCACTTCCTGTGCCTCCCCGGTGGGCGCCGGTAAATAACGTTTCGTAGGCCATTTCCGGGTTACTGAGGCCGCCCGCGGCGGCGCGGGCGTCGCTGTTCGCCGGTTCCCGGTCTATGGAGTCAGTTGGTGCGGGCGGCGGCGCGGAGGCAGGAGGCAGTGATCGAGGGGCCTTTGCCCCGCCAGGATGCTACCGGGCTTGGCCGCCGCCGCTGCGGCCCACAGATGTGGCTGGTCCTCCGTGTGCCGGCTCCGTCTGCGCTGCAGGGCGGCGGCCCGCGGCTCCAGCGAGCGCCAGGGTGAGTGTCCGTCCCCGGCCGCTGTTCCCGCGGAAGCCGGACTGGAGGAAGGGGTCCGGCCGGTCCCTCTGCGCCTCGCCCGGGCAGTAGCCCGGTAGTCCTTGCCCAGTCCCAGCCCCTACTCCCTTTGGTTCTCCGCCTTTGCATTTTGGCCCGCCTGGCCTGGGGGGCCCCTGACAGGCCTTCCCGACTCTGGTCTCGCCTCGGATACTAGCACAGGTTCCGCAGACACTTGAGGGCAGCCTGCAGCCGGTTTCCACCGGGAAGCCGACCACTTTCCCCGTGTGCACGGCGGTGTCCCACGGTCACATCTCCACCCCCAGCCACACACACCCTAGGCAGTGGGAAATAACTGGCTCCACAAAATTCCGGGGTCTTTGGAGCTCACGACTCCCCTTCAGTGAGGACTCGTAACCGAGCAGATTTTCTTGCCCTCCTTTCTTGGAGTCTCAACTTGCTTTCTTAAGTTTTCTAAAAGGAGCAACGCGCGGGGGGCGGGGTTGCTATTCAGACTTTACGAGTCATTCTTAAGTAGGAGGGTTTGACCATCACACAGTCACTGAACGAGCCCACTTTGGGGCTGGAAAACAACACTCTTCAGTTTCGTTGAGCTGCCTTTTTGGTGCAAAAGTGTCCACTGGAGCCGTAACCCAGAAAAAGGTGATTGGTGAGAATTTTTATCCCTCTGCTTAAGCATTTTTTCTTTTTCTGACTCAAATTGCCCCAGAGTTTCCAAAATAGCGTCGAACTTACAAGTTTTAATGAGGCTTACCCTCCGTTTCTGCCATCGATTGGCGCCTGCCATTGATTGGCTTGCCAGATCTTGACACTTCGGAACAATGAAAGTAACAATGAGGGAGAAGTTTGAACCAAATCCACCCCTAATCTTTTCCATCCCTAATCTTCAGGTTCGTGGGGATGTAAAGAGTATTTACAGAGACATTCCTCAAAAGTTCATGTTTGAAAAACTTGTAGCATTTTTGTGACCTCGCAATAGAAGTTGGAAGTCGTAGTTAAGTCATTCAAGGTTATGGTAAAAGCTATGGTAACGCCTATACTGTACAAATAACATATTTGTATTTTTTATGTGCAGTAAGTGTAGCAACTGGCTCTTAAAATTTTGGAGATGTTCTTGGGGCTTTTTGGTGATGATGGAAAAGTATAATTATTGATTTTTCCATATCGGCAATGTACCTGATTCTTTTATGAACAGAATGAATCATTTGGTTATATTCACTCCAAAATACCCAGGTGAAGGCTTCTATTGACCAAGCAGTTTCTGCATTTTACACTTAAATTAGGTGAAGTGACTGTTGAATTTAGGCTAAAGTGCCCTTTAAGTATTGCTTAGAAGTAGTTGAAAGAGTGTAATTTGTAATCCCTATTTTCTGTAGCTTTCATGTTGAAAATTATGTGCTCTTTGTCTCATCCATCTGTGAACCATAGATAATTACCTATCTCATCAGTCAGAATGATTTAGCAGAGTTGTTTGGAATATTTATTACCAAGAAATTAAAATATGTTTTCACACTAAAAAACACCTAGTAGGTTTAAAAAAAAAACCTTGTTTGTGAAAATTTAATTTCAATAATACCGTTTTTTAAAGGGCTATTATAATTATGGTAAAATTTAAAAATTATTTAGAAAAAGTGCTGTTTAAGTTGGATGCATGTAAGAAGTAAAGAATATTTGAAGAACTTTTGGAAAAAACTTCCAAAAACATTTTCCTTTATCAAGAAATACAATTTAGTTTATGCTTCTAAAATTGCTGCGTGAAAGAATATGAGGCCGGGAAAAATCTTACGAAGAATGAGAAGAGGAGGGAACCCTGAGGGAAGCAGCGGCTTCATTTGCATTCTTACAATGAGAAATGCCTGTTTGTCAAACTAACACTGAAAATATTTAAGGATGAAAAGGAAAACAACATTCTAGAGCAGCATTGTCCAAAGAGATATGCGAGCCTTGTATGTAATTTTCCGTTATCTTGATAGCTGTATGTTTAAAAATAGGAACAGGTGAAACTAATTTTAATGTATCTATTTTATCCAATATAGTTAAAGTATTTCAACAGGTAATCGATATCAAAGTTATTGAGATGTTTTATATTGTTTTTTGTACTAAGTTTTTGAAGTCCAGTATATTACACTGAAGTCACATCTTGGTTGACAGTAGCCACATTTCCAGTGCTCAAATAACAGTGTAGCTCAAACTACCGTATTGGACAGTGCAGTTACAGAGTTAGTATCCCTAATTTATAAATAATTTTTACAAACCAGTAGAAAAGTGGGCAAAGGAAATGAATAAGAAATTTATAAAGTTCATGTGGTCAACAAAAATGCAAAATTGTTTTATACTCTCTAATAAACACAGAAATGTAAGTTTAAGAATTCACTACTCATTGCCTGCCTGTATGGGCCGAGCGTTTCATAGTGATGCCTCATGCTGATGTTGTACGAAAGCAGGAGCTCTCTTACTGCTGATTGGGATAGAGTTGAACAGTGTTTTAGAGATCAGTTATTCATTGTATAAAAAGAACTTTAAAGATTAATGCCTTCTGATTCAGATTCTACTTAAAAGGATCCATCCATATTATGGTACATTTAATATGGGTTCATGATACATGCAACTCTTTTAAAATAATAATTTAGAATATTCAGTGACATGGGAAGCTGCTCTTGATGTACTGTATTAGGTAAAACTAGAAAAAAGTAAAAATATATACTGTGATATTAATGGTAAATTTTTTTTAATAATTTTTTTTTTAGTTTTTTAAAAGATTTTATTTATTTATCTTTAGAGGGGAAGGGAAGGAGGGAGAGAAATATCAATGTATGGTTGCCCCTTGTGAGTTCCCTGATGGGAACTGGCCTGCAACCCAGGCATGTGCCCTGACTGGGAATGAACCGTGGTTGCTTGGTTCCCAGGCCCGTGCTCAATCCACTGAGCTACACCAGCCAGGACCGGAGATCCCACATGCAAGCGTGGTGTATCAGGACGATGCTCTAATCAATTGAGCTCCTGGGCCAGAGCTGTTAAACTTTTTTTAACTTTATGTGTTTTTCAGAAGATCTATAATAAATGTACAGTTTTATTTTTTAATTTTAATTTACTGATTTTTTGAGCGAGGAAGAGAGAGAAACATCTCTTTGTTGTTCCACTTATATATGCACTCGGTTTATTCTTTTATGTGTCCTGACTGGGGATCAAACCTATAACCTTGGCATAGAGGGATGACTAACCATATATTTTTAAATCGGGGTCCCCACCCCCTGGGCTGTGGACTAGTACTGGTCTACACGTGCTAGGAACTAGACCACACAGTAGGAGGTGAGTGGCAGGCCAGTGAGGGAAGCCCGGCTCGGCTCGCATACCACCTGAGCTCTGCCTCCTGCCCTCCCTGTCTGTGGAAAAATTGTCTTCCTTGAAATGGGTCCCTGGAGCCAAAGAGGTTGGGGCTGCTGTTTTAAGTAATAAAAATGTTACTTAGTTGCTGTAGTAAATAGAGGGGGAGACCCTCCCCCAAACCAGAATTATCTTTTGGAGGGTGGCCCTTGTAGTACAGGCTTCCCCCACCAGGTGAATGTTCAAGGAACTCGCGTATCAGCTTACCAGCTGGCCTTCTTGTGAGAGGCTGCATTCTTAGCAGTTTTTGACCAAAAAAGGCATGACCTCTCCCCCTGCCCTGGTGCCCCACCCTCCCTATTAGCAACTTTTTTTTTGTTTCCCTGGGATGAAAAAAGCCCTGAAAGGGAAGGGTTTTGGTGATGTGGAAGAGGTGAAACAAAAGATAGCACTCACTAAAGGGCATCAAAATGAATGAGTTCAAACAGTTTTGAGCGTTGGAAAAAACGTCTCAATAAGGAGATTGCATCAAATGGAGAGTACTTTGAAGGTGACTGAAGTTTAAACATCAGAATAAATACACAATTTTATATAAATAAATTTCATTTTTGGTCCCTCCTTGTATAGCCTTCTTAAGTTTTTTTGGCTTTGCATAGAGTAGTTATTTTTTCATGTATTTTATGCCTTGCCTCACTTGACAAAAATTTGAGGTCAGAGGTTGCTCCTTTAGGTACTACATATTAAATTAACTGTTACATGCTTTTGCTTAAGTGTGAGATTCATGAAAGTGTACTTTTTAAATAAAAAGATAGAAATTAAACCTTTGTATTTTATATGCCTCTAATGTGCTCATATTTATTACCACAAGAAACGTAGAGTGGGAGTTTAACAATTTAACTTTTGTCTCCAGCATCCCCTCCCTTAAATCACTGATAGGAACATTGACAATTACAAAAGATCAAATTGACAGATCAACAGCATGATTCTGTGTAGTTGAAGTTAATGACAGAATTTATAACTGTAGAGTAAGGGTAGCCTTAGTGTGTGCCTCATGGGGTTTTTGTGAGTGAGGATCATTCAGCAAAGAGGCGCCGGTGTTGGTGGTGTAGTGCCAAACCAGACAGACAACCATGTGCACTGTTACTGGGCAGACACTAGGGATGAGCCAATACAAGTACTGTGCAAGAAACATACTGGGGCCCTGGCTGGTGTAGCTCACTGGAATGCAGGCCTGTGAACCAGAGGATCACAGTTTGATTCCCAGTCAAGGCACATGCCTGGGTTGCAGGCCAGTTCCCAGCAAGGGATGCACAAGAGGCAACCATACATTGATATTTCTCTCCTTCTTTCCTTCCCTTCCCCTCTAAAGATAAATTAAAAAAGAAAGAAAGAAAGAAAGAAATATACTGGGTTCTGGGCTAGAAAGTGGCCAGCAAGGGCTGTTTATTAGAAATGCTGGCCTGGGACTTCACCTTTTCTCTTGTTGCTGTTTTTCCATTTTTAAAGCAAATATTAACAATAATTAAGCAAGGCAGTGGAGATATATGCCAAGAGGCAGTGCAGGAAGTTGCCAGCATCTCATATTCTTTACTTGGGGCGGGGGAGGATTCCCTTACTCTGTTCTGGAGAAAAATCACATCAGCAATAGTCTTTTAGGTTGGGCTACCCTGTCTAGGTCACACTTTTGCTTGCTCGATGATTATGCATAAAAGGAGTTTCTTGCATTTTTGCCTAGCTGGAAGCATAAAAGTAAACTAGAAATAGTATGTTAATGTTTTTTTAAAGATTTTGTTTATTTTCTTTAGAGAGGAAGGGAGGAAGAGAGGGAGAGAAACATCAGTGTGTGGTTGCCCCTCACACGTCCCCATTTGGGGACCTGGCCCACAACCCAGGCATGTACTGGGAATTGAACTGGCAACACTTTGGTTCGTAGGCCCATGCTCAATCCTGAGCTACATCAGCTAGGGCTAGTGTGTTAATATTAGCAGTAATAATATTAAAGTAATTCAGCAATGCAAATACTTTTTGTTTTTAACATTTAGGCTTTTATTTTGAAAATATAGAAAAGTGTAAGGTCTAGAGAAAAAGTTATGTAGAATCCAGATATTTCACCAGTCACATTTGTAATAGGTGAATTCATATGTATTATTTTGTTTCCTGTAAAATCATTATAACAAGTGTTTTACATGTTATTAAAAGTTTTTAACGAATACACAATAAAAATATATAAAACCTAATGACTACTGCTACTGATCACCACAAAACAGATCCTCAGTCTAGTCTGTGATACTCTGATTATTGTGTATTTTAAAGTCACAATTACTAACCTCATTAATAATAAGTGATTTAGTAACAATGATTTAGTTTTTAATATGTCAGTGCTTTAGACGTTTTGGGAAAAAATTATCGTAAATAATGAGATTGACCTCTGGGAGACTTAGGGGACACATTTGACTCTGGTCCTATTTGTTTCCAGTTATTGTTACTACGTAAACACGTATTTATGTTTCCACTGTTTTGTGTTTGGAATTACATTTGCTTTATTGTCTCAGTTGTGGTCCAGTGTATCTTTTAGAATATGAAATGTAAGTTCTGTGCAATTTTCAATTTTGTTTTAATGCAATACGTGTACTTTAAAGTTGCTGACACCTGAAATTCTCCCAAAGTTTAAAATTAAGGACTTTTCAAAACAGCAAGGGAACTATCAAAGATCCTAGGATAGTGAGTGGCAAATGAAATCAGGAGTCAGTTTGAAGAGAATGCTAGCCAGGAATGGGACCACTTGAGCATCAATCAGGATAATGACTAAACTGGATTGAAATAATGCTTAAATCAATGAAATCATAACAACTCATGCACATTAATGTGTCACTACTGCAGGATGGTGGGGAAATGAACTCATTATTTTGAAAACTAGGAAATAAAAGGAAGCAATTAAGCATTTATCCTGATTTTCCTGTGTGGACTGTACTGCTGGATAACCAAATAAATGAAGGGAATGCTGTCTTTGTAGGAGCATTCTGACTAATAATGAATGATAAAAATAAAATATCACCATTTGATAACCACCTAATGAATAAATGGTTCTAGGCGTTGAACAACAGCGTACACTATCACAAGTATGTGGCTCCTGGTGGAAAAACACATCACCTCCTAACAAATAGTGTTGTCTTAATTAAAAGAATCAGAATTGGGATAAAGCCTTTAAAGCCACTGATTTATAGAACATTAAGAACAATAGGATAAATGACATCAGGTAATTAAATCAACAAAATTCACACTAGAAAACTACCAGGATAAAAATTTATGACAAACAACTTGGTCTTTTCAATACATAAAAACTTACTCTTAAAAAAAGACATGCTGTAGCTTAAAAGAGACTTCAAAGATGTCCCAGGACCTGGCTGGTGTAGCTCAGTGGATTGAGCGCGGGCCTGTGAACTAGAATATCGCGGTTCGACTCCCAGTCAGGGCACATGGCTGGGTTGCAGGCCAGTTCCCAGCAGGGGACGCACGAAAGGCAACCATACGTTGATGTTTCTCTCCCTCTCTCCTTCCTTTCCCCTTCCCCTCTACAGATAAATAAAGTCTAAAAAATAATAATAATAATTTAAAAAAAAGATGTCTCAGGAAATCACAGTATGTGGACCTTACTAGGATCTGTTCACACACACAAAAATGATAATACTTATAACAACTGGAAATTGACATTAAAGAATTGCTTATTATTATTTTTTACTTGTGATGACAGTGTGCCTGCGTTTAAAAAGCTATTGTTTCTAGAATGCATACTGAAATGTTTATGAATGAAATTACTTTATGTCTGCGATTTGCATCAAATCAATACGGAGGTGAGGCGGTAGTGCTGTAGGTAGAGATGGGACAAGGTGGGGAATGAGTTGAGACTTGTTGAAGGTGGGCAACAGGTTTGCCTAACCCAGGTTTTGTTTATTGTACTGTTTTTTTCTACATTGCATATGTTCAAAATGTTCTGTAACAAAAATTTTAAAATGTAAGGAGAAAAAAACTCTAGGATCAAGTCATGGAAACATTGTTATCTCTTGACGGATTTTTAGACTGGAGTAATCCCTCTTTAAATATCTTAGTGCAGTCTCCATGAAAGCATTTCCTCAGTGGGCAAAAAAAGATGTGGCAGATGTCTTTGTTATGTAATAGTCACAAAAGGTGTTTGAGTGGGGCTGACAAACCCGTGGCCTGCTGTGAAGATGCTTTCCTGGAGGGTGGTTCCTTGGCAGAACTTGCTTCAGCCTTTGCTTCACAAATTCATTTTGCTAGTAGCCTACATATTTTAATAAATGAAAAAGTAAGTCGGTATCAGGAAGCTTTTAAAGCAAATAATTCCTGAGCCTGAAACTTGAGCGAATAGTTATGCTGCCTGTGCCCCTCACGTTCTTCAGATTATTTTCAACATTTACTGTAACTTACGTTTGTGATGAATTCACCGAGCCATTACGAAAAAATTTACTTTTTCATTTCAGAAGGCATGTATCTATCTGCACATGCACATACACGAACTAACATTTTTGTAAGATCATTATTAAGCATTTAGAAAAGTTTTAACTTTTTTTAAAATAAAATTTTAAGATATTTTATTTATTTATTTTCAGAGAGAGGGGAAGGAGAAAGAGTGGGAGAGAAACATTGCTTTGTGGTTGCCTTTCATGTGTCTTCCACTAGGGACCTGACCTGCAACCCAGGCATGTGCCCTGACTGGGAATTGAACCAGCGACCCTTTGCTTCACAGGCCCGTGCTCAATCCACTGAGCTACACCATCCAGGACAAAAAGTTTTAACTCTTGAATGCTTAACTCACCACTCTTGGAAAAACGGCTATTTAATATAATTTTGTTAATATACCTACAACTTTAAAAAGTACATAAATTATATCTAGACAGGTATGTTTGAGTTCTTTTGTAAAGAGTTCTAGCCCTGGCTGGTGTAGCTCAGTGGATTGAGCAGCAGTCTGTGAATCAAAGGGTCACCAGTTTGATCCCTGGTCAGGGCACATGCCTGGGCTGTTGGCTGTCACTCCAGTAGAGGTCGTGGGAGAGGCAACACACATTGGTGTTTCCCTCTCTCCTTCACTTCCTCTCTTTCTAAAAATAAATGAATAAAATCTTTAAAAAAAAATTCTAAGTACTCATATAAAAATAAAGGGAGGAGGGGTCACATAAAAGTAGGAACAGAGGAACAGACAGACTTGCTTTCCTGCCACTTTGTGGCAGGTGGGGAGGGAATGTGTGTGTGTCGTCCTGTGTGCCAGCTCTGTCAAGTCCACAGCCAACCTGCATGCGGCCGCTGAAGTGCTTCATAATTGATACCCTGTTCTTCCCCAATTAAAATTCCCGTGTACTGAGGATTTTACCAACATTTCACCAAATGATAAGTGATAGTATGAATGACTCATTAACATAGTTCACTTACTGATCATGAAATGAAAGGAATAAATATGCAGCCAATAGAAAGAGGACCCAGCATAATTTTGAGTGGGAAGCCCTTGTGACCTCATTCCATCTTAAGAGAAGTACGTTATGCTGATATATTTTTGCCATATAACGAGCATACCAAATGCACAGTATCTGTTATATGCCAGACACCTTTCAGAACAGCGGAATAATACGAAATGTTAAAATATATTTTAAATGTTATCCTTTACTTTTTCTGTACATAATGTAGTCCCTGTATTCCTAGGGGTCAGTGAGACTCCGCCAGCGGAGAGGGTGATTTGGCATTGTACCTTTGGGGGTCTTGCACCGTGAAAGTTTCCCTGTTGTTTTGTAAAACCGTTCTCCTTCTAATCATAGGTGACCTATTTTATTGGGTGTCAAAATCCTGGTGACTCTGTACTTAAAATATTTTTTTTCTTTTAGAATGGCAGAATTTAGTGGCCTTTGGAAGCTTCTCAAACGTGGTTCCCTGTGGTCACCCATACTTTTGTACGCTGAGTCAAGTCAAGCTGTACTCTACAGATGTTCAGAAAGAAGGGCAGCGGTCAGAAACCCTCAGAGTAGAAAAAGTACCATCATTGGATGAAGCAGGTATGTGTAAATGTTTTTAAATCAATTTCTCTGTGTACTGGAGTAGTTTGTGTGAGAATATTTGTTCCTTGAATATTTGATAGAACTTACCTATAAAACTGTTTTATTGCTATTTTTCTATAGTTTTGGAATTCTGTAATTCTATGCCACTATCCTTTCAAATGTAATGATCTCTTTCATTTTTCTATTATCTACTTTTGGAACTCTTAATTATAAATATGTTACATCTTGCTTTATTTTCCATGTGTGTGAACCTGTCCTATTTTCTATTACTGAATTTTATATTTCTCTTTCTGTCATTTTTATATTTCTATTCTGGCCTGAATTCTGGATTATTTCTTTAGTTCTTCCTAGTTCACTAATCAACTGTTTAGTTACCTCTAATCTGATGATTGATACATTTGTTGGGCTTTTAATTTCAACGATTTTATTTTTCTTTTCTAGAAGGTGTTTTTCACCTTGCTTGGTTGGTTTCATGTTCCTTGCTTATATTTTCAAACATCTCTTTTGTTACTGAGCCATATTAAACATAGCTATGTTATATACTGACTGAAAATGAAGCTATCTGAAATTTTTTGGTTTGCCCCATGTTATCCTCTTTTTCTCTGTTTCTTGCTCTCATTTATGATGCCTTATTTGTGTTTTTTTCTAACCGAGATCTGTTCATTTTCTATGCAGTTTTATATCTTGGAACACTTTCATGTCTCTCCAGACTGAAAATGTGGTCCTGCATAGAGTTTGTTTTTGCCTTTTAGCTGCTGAAAATACAGCTTGGGACCACATTAAATTCTCTTCTTTACATTTTTAGATCACATTGGTAGCATGAATTCAGACTGCAGACTGGTGTGAGGGCTGATTTGTTCTTAGGACTCTCAGGGCAGTTTCCCTCCACTACGCAACAGGAGAGTTAAGGTGGGCCTGCTTCCCTGCCGCTGCCTCTGTGTGTCCTGTTTCCAGTCACAGTTACACCACGTGTGTAGCTTTTCTCTTTGTGAGTGTCTTCTGTGAGCAGACACGTTTTTGTTTAGTGTCTCCATCTTGAGCAGAACTAGTCTTATTCTCTGGTCTCCCATGCCCCTTGCAGCCTTGCAGTTCTGTAGAAGCTCAGAGTATAAGCTTCAACAAAAATCATCCTGCACCGCCCCCCCCCCCCCAAAAGCTGGCTTTGGTGTGCCCACTTATTCTGTGGAAGCCTGGCTTCTCCTTCATTTTTCCCTCTTCAGAACACTTTTTGCTAGTTCAGCAATGCATTTGAAAAACTTTATCCAACATTAAATTTTATCCAATTTTAATGTTGATCTGCAGCATTAAAAAGAAGTCCTTTATTCATTTATTTGTTGTTTTATTCAAGAAGTGTTTTTTGGTAGTATTTATATGGTAGCAAGAGAATGACTCTTGGAGTTCATGGTCTTTTTATTGCTAAAACAGAAAATTAAGTAAACAGATATAAAATACTGTAGAGTTAAGTGCTGTTGTAAGGGAAATGCTATGAGCTGCAGGAGCGTTTGGGAGGGGCCCTTGACTCTTGAGTGGTTAGGAAAGGTTTCCATAAAGAAATGATAATTAAATAGGGACCTGAAGAAAGTAGATATTGGAGGGATGAATGGTGGAGAAAGAAGGCAAACTTGCAAGTAATACAGTGTGATTGAACTACTGAGTGGAGGACCTGGTGGTGGGATTGGTAGTTTTGAATTCAGAAGTTCAAGGGATGAAACTCAGGACGTAAAACAGCAATTAGATGAGGGTTGTGTTCAGAAGTTTGGACTTTGTAGGCAATGGAAATTTATTGGAGTATTTTAAGTTGAGGAAATACTTGATCAGATTTAAGATTTTAAAGAGATAACTAGTTGCAGACTGGAAAACAGATTGCAAAGGAAGCGGTGATACAAATGAGGGTTCAGACCAGGCTAATGGCAATGATTTTTTTAAAGGAATAGAAGCACTCAAGAGATTTAGGAGCTGAATAGTTAGGAGTTGGTGATTGAATTTGGAAGAATGAAGGAGCTGGTCAAGTAAAGGTTAATGCCTGCTTACTAGACCGGGCATATGTGTAGTGCTTTCATTTGTTTCTAAAATTAGGAAAACCACAGCCAGGCAGAGTACTTTGAGAAGATGACTCAGGTTTGGGTATCTAAATTGCAGTAGGTGCCTCTGGGACATCTGAGCAGATCTAGTAGGCAGCTGGATATACTTCAGGTGAACCTCAGGAATATTGTGGGTTCAATCCAGGCCACCACAATTAACGCGAATATTGCAATAAAGTGAGTCTCATGAATTTTTTGGTTTCTCAGAGGATATAAAAGATATGGGTACACTATATGTAGTCTATTTAGTGTGCAATGGTATTTTGTCTAAAATAGTGTACACACCTCAATTTAAAAATACTTTATTGCTAAAAAAATTAAGCATTATCTGATCCGTCAGCAAGTTACAATCTTTTTGTTAATGGAGGGTCTTGCCTCGGTGTTGGTAAAACTATCTGTGAAGTGCAGTAAAGCAGGGCAAAGAAACAAACCGTGCCTTTGCTGCCTTGCTGTGCGAGAGGGGACATCAGCATCTCTGCTGGGTTCCTGCAGGAACCTCCTCCCTGGGCTCCCTGCTTTCACTCTCTTCCTTGATCGTTACCTTTCATCCCAACCAGTCTGCTTTTGGTTCTTAGAAAATACCAGGTTTGTTCTCATTTATAAGGCCTTTGCTCTACCTAGTTGCTTCCTCTTTCCAAGGTGTACTTCTGCACATACAACCCCTGCTGGTCATTACATTACGTTGAAATGTCAGCTCTGCAGTCATTCTCATAATCACTCAATCTGAAGTAGCCACCCAGTCAGTCATAAATATTATCCTAATTTTAATTCTCTGTGTAGATTGCACTTATTACTGACTGGTGTTTTCAATATTTATTTACTTTATCTTCCACTTGTTTGAAATTCCAGTGACATCAGGAACCTCAGTGAGTGGAGCGGTGGTTTGCACATAGTTTAATAAGTATGTGTAAATGAGTGAATGTGTAGAATTCTAACCTGGATGTATAGGTTTAAGAGACACTGGCTATACCCAGGTGGTAGCTGAAGGCATTGGTATGTTTGAGACAGTGCAGGGAGTGTTTAGAGTTTGGAGACAGATAAAATCCTCAGTACAAAACCCCCAGTGGCTAAGAACAGATGAGAGAAGAGGAACCTGCAAAGGATACTTCAGGAGGAGCAGCCTAAAGAGGTAGGAGCAGATGCAAGGAGAATAAATACAGTGTCAGGAGGAGAGAGTGTTTGGAAAATAATAAACATTTCAAAGCTGTCTGGTCTTTAGTTGGGTACCTTTCACAGGATAAGGTTTTAGATTTTAGATTCATTGAGAAACCTGTATTCATGTTTAGGATGCCTGTTTTTCTCTGTTTCCCCTAAATCTTATCTTCCCTTTGGGCTTACTCTGCAATTTTAGCCAATTTCTTTCCTTTTTCTTTTGGTGATGGAGAACTGCTGGGGTATTTATTAATTGAGAGTGTGATATTAAAGGATGAAAGAATTGAGAGTATAGTGAGTCCCTAAGCTCTAGAAATAAGCATATTTATTAAATTGTCAAAATGGGAGGAGAAACAAGTGATGAAAAAATAGAATTAAGGGCAGAATATGTTATAATGCTCTTTTGAGTTGAACATAGACTCAGGCAAAAAGTTCTTAATGTTGGTTCTTCTATACAGAATGCTTGAAGTTGAAATCTATGACTAGGTTTCTTTTTTCTATGCTGACTGGAATAAAAATGTTAGTGTATTTTCTTATATTAGGAATATATTGGGGCCATGAAGGAACATGTGTAAAGGACACATGGACAAAGCCAAAGGGGGTAGGATTGAGGGTGGGTGGGGTGGGTGGGGCAGAGGGTGTGGTGGGGTGAAAATGGAGACAGCTGTACTCGAGCAACAATAAAAAATAATCCTAATAAAAGAAAAGAAATACATTGTTTATGAAGGTTTGTTTTGGGCTCAGTTTTTCAGAATTCATTTCGGCCAGATTAGGCCTTGTTAGCCATCAGATGGATAACAAGTAATTGCTTGATTGAACAATAATTGGTATATTTAAGGGTTTGAGATTGACTTTTGAATAATTCAAATCGCATGAAGAAGTCAGGAACAGCTCATCAAGAGGCAGAGATTTGCTAAGGAATCCTTAAGTTTTTAAGGAGCATTCAGATGTTTAAAATTTTAGTAAAATTAGTTTTAATCTTGCTAATGACAGCAGATGTGTGGCAAACAGCCAGGACTTGAACTTAAAATGTCTAGAGATATTCGTGGATAAACTGTCTGGTTACTTATTGAAACCATAAAAATTCTACTCCAGTGATACCTCTAAGTTTATTAAGGTGGCAGTGTGCAAATTAGGTATTTGTTCATCCATATGTTTGAGCCATTTGCTAACCTTTCTTTTTTTTTTTTTTTTTTTTTTTATTTTTTTTTTTTTCCCCCCCCCCCCCCGCGCTAACCTTTCTTATTTGGGATTCTTAACACTACATGGTTAGTATCATCTAGACAGTTTGTAGTGAGAAGAAAATCCAGAGACGTCAGTCTTAGAGCAACTCATTTTCTGTTTGGTTGAATGACTTTGATCATTGTGGGAGGGAGGGTTGTCTGAAGTTTTTGACGGTAGATTTCAGTTGTTCAGACACTAGGTGAGGGTTGGAAGCTTGCTGTTCTGCCATCCCTTTCCCTTCACTTTTCTCCACCATCACCATACTCTCTGTTCACCAAAGCAAAATTTTAAGAACTTGATACAGGTTCTATAAAGATGCTTTAAAATTTGCATGCTGTGTTGGTAGACAGTACTAAAATTGTAATAATCATTTAACTGTTCAATGCCAAATGTTACAAGCTATCGTAAGTTAAACAGGTAAGTGTTTTTAAGCCTGTCTTCGTCAATATGCCATTATAACCTCCTTAGGATTTTGTGAATAGTTATAAATAGCCTTTCGGGATTTTCTGTACATGTTGTAGTTATCAAAACATAATATAC